GGGTGGACGATCACCTATTCATTCGGATTCTGCGAGAGCACCTTGCTAGCTACAATAACCTGCGCAAATCTCGTGCCGCTATCATTGCACGAAATGGTGGCATGCTCATTGAAGGAGGTCGAAAATGGTATCGGGGTTCAACTATGCCTGACGACAGAATTGAAGAGTTTGATGAAGACTGTTCGTTTCCCATCATTGATCTCTCAACAGCCTCCCCACGATCCCCAGAAGATGCTCGCTTCACATTTTGCTTTGACGACATCAACCGCCTATCCAAAATTCTCGGAATACCCTGGGAGCTGGCAAAAGACATCCTTTTCTCGTCATGTGCCCCCTTTATTGGCTTCCTCTGGGACATCGAGTCGCATTCTGTCTCGATCCCACAGAGCAAGAAGGAGAAGTACGTGGCAGCTATCAAAGAATGGGAGATTTGATCTTCACACACGCTACGGGAAGTCCAGGAGCTTTATGGGAAGCTCTTACATGCTTCTCTGGTCCTCCCAGCAGGAAGAGCTTACCTCGTTTCTCTCGAGACCATGCTATCCATTTTTCACGACCGTCCGCACATGCCTCGTTCCCCCCCCCAAGCACACAGGTGATGACCTCCGGTGGTGGAAAGCCAGCCTCTCACAATCACTCGTCTCTCGGCCAATCCCAGGGCCCGTCGAAATCATTGACCCCTCGGCTTACTCAGACGCTAGCTCAGGCACTGGTATCGCGATTTGGATCAATGGCAGATGGCGAGCGTGGCATCTCCTCCCAGGCTGGAAAGCCGAAGACAGAGACATTGGCTGGGCAGAGGCAGTCGGCATGGAATTCCTCATTATTGCACTCCTCGGTTTATGCCCAACGGGCAGCTGCATCAAAATATTCGGGGACAACCGGGGAGTCGTTGAAGGGTGGTGGAAAGGGCGTAGCCGCAACAGGGCCACCAATACCGTCTTCAAAAGGATCCACGAGCTCGCCGCATCTACGCAATGCACTTTCCTCACGCGCTATGTACCCAGCAACTACAACCCAGCGGATGGCCCATCCAGGGGAATCTACCCTCCCTCAGACCTTCTGCTTCCCCCAATTAGCATCCCCCAGCCACTCCAACCCTTCGTCACGGACTTTGACAATCCCGCTATCCCTTCTGAGTGCCATGCACGCAGTAAGAAACTCAAAGCGCTCCCACACGTCAATGACCGAGCCCGCTCACGAGAATCAGCTGAGCACCTCAATGACGAGCTCCGTCGTCAAGGAGAAGAGCTCTTTAAAGCGACGCAAGCTTAGTAAGTCAGCGAACATCACACTGCAGGCTTCCCCCTCATCGAGATTCTTAGTTGCAGCTTATCCTGCTAATCTCACCCCTCGTATTTCCGTCCTAAGACCCCATTGCACAGCAAAAGACAGGCTCCGTCTTTGGCGACCAGCCACAGACGACACATCAATATCTTGCCTCCCCCACGCAGATGCACAGCGCATTCAAGATGTCATGATCCACGCATGGGCTGGCAGCACCCAGGAGGCATATGGAAGCGGCATCCTCGCCTACCATGTTTATTGTGACTCGCACTCCATCAATGAAGCCATGCGTGCACCCGCGTCTTCTGAACTCATTTCAGCTTTCATTTCAGACTTAGCCGGATCATATTCAGGGAAAACTATATCAAGTTATGTCCATGGTATTCGCACATGGCATATTTTGCACGGAAAATCATGGTCCTTAGATGATGACAAAATAGATGCTATGCTGAAAGCGGCCAAGAACCTCACGCCCTCGTCATCAAGAAGGAAGAAAAGACCACCATACACCGTGGCTTTTATAACTAGCATCTTGCAGAAACTAGACCCCAACAACCCTCTCGATGCTGCAGTGGGTAGCTGTCTCACAACAGCCTTTTATTCAATGGCCAGAGCTGGAGAATTCACGATCCGAACTCTTTCATCATTTGATCCCTCCATTCACGTCAAACGCTCCGACATTCGTCACGAAACAGATCGCAATGGGCTCGCGACTACCGTTTTTCATTTACCCCGCACGAAAACATCACAAAACGGGGAGGACGTTTTCTGGGCGAAACAAGAGGGTCCCACTGATCCTGAGGCCGCATTATCCAACCATCTCAACATCAACAACCCCCACTTCGACATCGCACTCTTTTCCTATAAGTTCGGCGAGGCACACCGTCCTTTGACGAAAACAAAGTTCATTGCAAGGCTTGCTCGCGCTGCAAAGGATGCTGGCCTCGACCCATTGCAAGGCCACGCTATCAGAATAGGTGCTACCTTGGAATACCTCCTCCGAAACATCCCATTCGAGGTCGTCAAGACAATGGGAAGGTGGGCCAGTGATGCCTTCCAGATCTATCTTCGAGATCACGCTCAGATTCTCGCACCATACCTTCAAGCAACACCCGCCATTCAAGATGAATTCCTGCGGCACACAATGCCCCGCGTTCGGTAACGGCTTCTTCATGTAAGCATCCATTCTCCTCCTAGTCTTATGGGTATCTTCGGTTCGCTCGATGCGTCGTCGAACTCCTAGACAGTTGGGAACCGCAGCTCACCTTTTATCTGGCAGGACACGCAACTCGGGACCGGGAGGCGCTGCGCGCCTTCGCCCAAATCGCTCAGAATAGGATATATCGAGGATCGTGGACATCGAATGTTCATAGCACGGTAGTAGAGGCAATATTAATTGAATTCTCCAAGCAGAACTGCTCCAAGTGACTCGCAAAGACAGCAGCCAGTGACGAAAGTTGCCAGGGCGCGCGGCGGTGCTGTACTGTCCAAATTAGTTCCGAAACGCGAACCGCACCGACGTTACGATCATGACGATAGGCTTGACTGATAGGCGCTGGAAGTGGTTCGAGGTTTGAGCATTGAGCATTTTATGTGAACCGTAGGGAACTTGTTCGGACAGCAACCGCACTATATATATACAGGTAAATAATCACTTTCAGAAAGACCAGGAGAAGAAGTAGAAACACCGTGAAGCTGAGATAGAAGTCAAAGAAGCTGCAGAGAGAGATATTAGCTTGATGACGCTGCAGACAAAGTACAGTTGGTACAAAATAGCTCGGGAGTCTAAATACCTGCTTTTTCAATTTTTGGTAGTAAAAAAGTTCGAACCGGTTCGCACCTGAACAGTTCTATATATGACCAGTTCTTGACATGACCATAGCCGTCAACAACTTACGAGATTGATCAAAGTCACCTATCACAAGGACCACTGCAGCCGCGATGTTATGACCTGATATAACTTCAATACATCGACATCGGTCGCAACTATCAAAATCAAAAGTGATTCTACTCACCCACAAGACCTCATACATATGACCTGGAAGTCTCTCTCCAGATTAGCATGATGATGACGAGGGCAAGATACAACGCAAACGAGGAGATGAGATGTACAAACACACGACCTGGGACTCCTACATGGAACAGGGAAAAGGAGAATAGTTTATGGTACAAATGGCCGATAAAGTCTGTTTTGAAATATTGATGTTTCAATCTCAGGCTAGCTTCAAGTTGCGCCGCTTCTGAATCCAGATGGCATTTGATATGCCCGGAGTCCCTCCATCCTCATCCTCCTCCACTCGTCACTGAGCCTGCCCTACTACTGTTTACCGTCTTATTCCCTCTCCCAGCCATCCCTCCTCTGAGTCCTATCCCCTCATACTCCTCTATTCTCCCTTCGGGTTCCAATTTGATCATGGCCATGATCCCTTCTCCGTACCCATGATTTCGCTGGGTATGACGCGGTGAGATACTTCGTGCAAATTAATATGTTGGCAGGTGAATAGACGAACCAACAGGAGAGGAAGACAACAAGGCAAGTACTCCAGTACACGACCGTATGAACTCGGATCCATACGCCCCCAGAGGCTCTCGCAGCAACCCACCTCCTCATCGGAAAAGACATGTTCGTGGATAATTTCGACGTGAATTATTGTACATGCAGATACTACCCAGATATCCTGATCATTCGTCACTTTTGTTCCATTCTCCCTTCCAACCAATGCTAAATGCCACAAAAACTAACTTTTGAGTGTCACCTACTTGGATACTTGAATGTGCCGTCGCAATCTGCGTAGATGGGGCTGTCACAGAAGAGTCGAAGATATGTTGAGTCGTCCAAGTACCGTTCAAAACACATCAAGATTACAACACCGCGGATTAAGTCAAGGAAACACACTGGCAAGACTTACTTGTACATCACCCGATCGCTCAACAACTACTGAATGCAGATGCACGGCTGGTCAGCTACATCGCCTATGTATGATTACCACCATCAGGTCTGTGTCGTTAACAGGGGAAAAAATGAATCATAAATTCATCAGCACATTTGGCTTCAAATGAGTCAGAACGGATCAAACTCACCCGATATCTGACACAAGCGTCTATCTGAATTTCAGATCCATGAAGTGCGGTCTTTTATCAATCCAATTTCCTTTTCATCCTTTGGGCCTCTGTTTGAATCACGATTGCTAGACAAGCTGGGGAACTGGGCGAAGGAAGGCCAAACACAACGATCCATTTACACTCAGGACGCACAGAAAGCGAAGCCACCACATACATCCTTCAGTGTCATGAAATTAGCGTCAAGAGTAAACCAAGAGGGATGGCAAACGCGCAACCCACAACAAACTCACAAGTTAGGTTCTTGTCTTCTGCGCAGGCGGTTCTAGAACGTTTCAATCCAGGATAGCCGTGTGCAGCTCAGGCTGATCAAAACTCTAATGACTTGATGTAAGAAGAACCAAGGGATGCAGTAAACCAGCTTACTCCAGGTTGCGTCTGTGATTTTCGGTGCAGCACTTGGAAGCGCACAACTTGCAAGACGAGTATCAGTTCCAAGCGCACAAAAAGTACTAGTATCCAGCTAACATCAATCTGCATACCACGAATACTATGCACAGGTTGCAGCTTCTATGACTGGGTTCACAACGATCACGATGAGAGTAAAGGTGTAACACGGAGGAAAAGGGCGGCAGGACAACATGATTATGAGATAACAGCGAGATAGATAATCAGATAGTAGAAAGGAAGAGAAAAAGAAACAACGCACACTACACCGCCATCAATCCTGTTCGGATGATGCGACTACTCACCTTCAAAATGAGCATCACCTGCGATATGCCACACTCACCCGTCTCCAGCTCCCTTCACTACCGCTGTCGGAATCACTTTCCTCGTCAAAATCAGTAAACGGATTATGCAAACGCGCACTTCCGCTTCGTGAAACCAAGATTTCTGCCCCATCCGGACCTGACACCTCGCCGAACACCACAAACTCATGCTCGCTCATCATCAAGGGAGATAGTGAGCTCACAGCACCCGAGAGAGGTGCACGCGGGGAAAGGTGCATCTCACCAATACGAACAGGCGGGGGGACTGAGTCAAGTGGCGAGCCGGAGCGGCTACCGCTGTTCCCAAGGCTCAGTACATCTGTGCTTGGGGAGGAGAAGGTAGTGTGTGATAAAGGCGGGGAGAGTAGGACAGGGGGAGTGGGCGGAGCAGGATAACGTTCTGACAGTGACTCCACAACGCTATTATTTGCATTCGTCTCCTCATGCATGCTCGCATCGACGCTGCTGTTGATGTTGAAATTGACGTGCTCGCCAACAATGTGATCGTCCACATGCCTGCCCTGCACATCCATGCTAATGTGCGAGCTTGAGTGCTGCAGAGAAGACCTGTTCGATGGTACGCGAGAACGCATGGGCGTGTGAACAACCGGAGAAAATGGGCGGGTGGCGTAGGCAGAACTTGTACGGGGGGTATCTGGCAGGATGGGTCCAAATGGTGGACTTGGGCGTGCAGAGAACGAGGGCGAAGACGGGGCAAAAGATAAAGTAGCGTTGGCCTCACTCTCAGCGTCTTTGGCGGTGTGAGAAGTCGCGCTGGAGTGGGCACAGCTGGGCGTGCGTGCGGAAACAGAGAGAGCTTCTGCGAATGGGGATGAGACATTGGAGATGAAATGGGTGGGAGTGAGTGGAGTGTGCGTGAGTGACGTGAAAGACTGTTCGTGTTTAACCAAAGGGTAAGATGGAAAATGGAAGACAGACATACCTCATCCATTGTGCTACATATGCTTCCTTCGTCTGTGTCAGGAATCACTCCGACTCTCCGCCTCATAATCGCGCCTGGGGCAGTGCGATGGACCTGGTCCCGCCATTCATCGAGGTTGAAGCCTTGTAGTTCGATAGAATCTTCTTCTGCTGCAGGGGTCCTTTCCCTTGGATCAGCGCTGCTGGACCCTGTGTCTCCATTCCTAGACCCTCGGATGGATGATAAAAGAACAGGAGCTCTATGTCGAGCACGACGGTTGGCGAGGAAGTTCTCTGCCCAACGCTCAATGGCGGGGGCAATGTGGGGTTCAAAGACGAACTGGAGAGTATATTAGAGGGGTGAAGATAAAATGAGAGGTTTTTGATAAATATAAAATTACCTCATGGAAAGCAACGACAGCAGCGACACCTGCAATAGCCGCAACGACGCACACTGCTACTGGTGCTGGCATTATAGTTGATTCGAGAGTCAGCAACCGACTGCTTGAGTTGAGACTTGGACTCGAAGCTCTGCTGAGGGTCAGATAATATAATTTTGGCTGGTTGGATGTGCGGGATGCCTTGGACAAGATTTTTCGATGGCATAGGATAAGGAAGGGGAACGAGCTGTCACTCGCCTTGCGGATTTATCCTCGCACTCTTGGACTCACTCCTGTCCATAACCCTCTTCTCAGTCACCTTGCTGTCATACACGTTATGATTGAAAACAAGTGAGATCAGACACCTGCAACGTACTAGAAGAGGTAATGCTCCTGTGGTTCTTTCATGTACCGTATTTTTTGATTCAGGTCTGGATCAACGTTCAACCGAACTCGAGGTATTTACGTTTAGTACCATCGTACATAAACGAACAGCAAGCCTGAACATGATATGCACGTGACGCGCGGCATTGGCTCCCGACTCCGACGAGGCAGTACTCAGGTTGAGGCTATTAGTACTGCAGTGTGCACTGTCGGTGCACCGCACATGCACGTGGTGTAATATTATGCTCAGTGTGAGTATGGTGGATGAGTGCTGACCTATAGACGTTGCAAATATGTACTCTTTCATCTAGCTCGCATGCGTGTTCCTTTTCATGCATGTGGTCCGGACTCCGCATGCCACAATATTATTTTATTGGTAAGTTCGAGTCGAGTCTCCGGTTCCAAGTGCGTTCACATCATCATGCCCCAACAAGGTCACGCAGTTCTCTACACTGCTACTAGTTTAACGTTCCGTCTATGTCAGCTTGACCTATTCCTGTGGTGGATCAAATTTCAAAGCCTTGCTATGGATGTAGAATGAGTTTCAAATTCTGACTGGTAACTTCTAGAGCATGTGCATATCCTGCTTGTCGGCAATTCGAGCTGTCGTACCCCGATAACGTAAAAGTCAGTAATGCTCGGTCTATTTCTTTGCAAGGTAATTGGCTAATCATTGGTCAAGGTGTGCGGGATGGCATCCACTTCAAGTTACGTTTTGACTTTTCTTCGTCAGAGTGATATTTTGATATGACCATCGCTTCCTTCATGACATGTCATCCATGTTTTTCTAAACATCCTTGCAAGGATATTACAGGCACGCACCATAAAAAATTCTAGCACTGCTTACTATTGCAGGCTGTTCACCTTGCATCGGTTTGCTTCTTCCATTGTCGTTCCCGTGCCTCCATTGCTAATGAGTTTGGGACGGTCATGTAACTGCTAGGTGGCGTCATGTCTGCTCGAGGCTAGCATCGGCAGTTGGTTGCTAACCCTCTTACGAAAATCGCACCGACATTGCACCGACAAACAGGCTGATCTTCATCCACGTCAGCATCACTGTCTCAATTACGTGCTTTGATGTTTCACATGTTATTCTATTAATCTTTCCTTCGAGCAGCATAAAGTTCAGGTATGCGCAGTCGGTTTTCTTTATCGCGTTTTGTACTCTTAGCCGCCACCCAAGGATCTATAGTCAGGTGGTTGCATTCCGTGCCGCAGTCCACATCACTCATGCTGTTTTGCCGGCCGGCTGCGATTCTATCTGCTACGAATTGTTTTGGTGACCCGCAGAGATATACGCGTCCTCTCGCAAGCCATCACCTTAAAGCGGGTTGTTTCTGCGGTGAGACATATGGGCGTCGTCCTAGGCCGCCACCAAGAGCATCGAGGGTATAAATCCAGCGCGATGGTGAGTAATTGCCTCACTCCACGCAAAGCATCAGACTAAGTCAGCCATCATCCTTTTCATCCCAAATATCACAATGTGTCTCAAAAAAAGCTGTCTCGAGCATTGCACGAGGTGTGGATGGGACAGGCCGACGGGATTTCGCCAGACCGAGATATGCAATGCACGGCAGCTTTGCGACATCGCGAACAATAGCCATCCGGAGCACAATCACATTCGACATTCGCGGAATGACATTGCAGCATACAACAGGAGCTGTCTTAACAGGAGCAGCACGGTAGATTTCGTCTGGAGAAACGTGGGATCCTGCGATCATTGCATGTGGCGAGGACTGTGTCGATTCCCGGCATTGGAACAAGATGCAGCCTCTTGTGGTTGACAGTCAACATTTCGTACTTTCGTTTGGTGCGAGTTGACTAGGATGTACGCATTTCGTTCATTGGGAGCGCTGGGTTTGAATCGTTCTGTATATGTCCAACATGTGAATATAATAAAGCTTTTTTTATTCCAACAATCGAGTGACGCAACCTAGATTGGAACGGACATCGTTTGGCACATCGATCAGAGTCCGCGCGAATGAACAAATATTGTTGGAAATTGACAATGATATTATTGACTTCTGCAACAAGATCACGTGAAGATTTTCCACGTCTGTGAGCGATGAATTACTACTATGCTTGCTTTTTCTGTTCCCACTGTCTCAGCAGCTGTCTTCCGTGTGACGAGCGCTTGACTCACTCACCACCTCTTAGTGTTGTTTTTAGTCTGAATTTTTCAAGCACGAGGTGCTCTGCACTCTGGCCCAGGTGGGAACGCTCTCAGAACTTGAAGGTGTGTTTCTCCGTCACTCACGATCTCTGGTTTAGGTCTACATCAATACCTCCTCGGAATCATGGCATCGAGGACAGACTTACAAAACAAAAGAACAGTAATTTGATTTACTCATGGTGATTTGTTTTATTTCTCTTCACGTCTTCTGCAAACTTCACTTCTAATGTGCCCTCAGTGACGCGTCATATCTCGCTAAGTGAACGTCGTATAATGTCCTCGTGGCTTTTCACCTCTTCTTCCCACATGCACAGGCTGATCTCCCGTACTTTGGACCTTGAAAGGAGACGACCTTCTTTTCAAGCGAGCCTTGCATTGTATTCCAAACGACTTCTCCAACAGACTTGATGCCGAATCACTAGAACTCACTTAAATGCCCATGCACGCCTGCTTTCTCATTGAAGATGTTGTATATCACATTCCTGGCATCTATCATGCCTCCAGCCGGGATCGCTCCTCTCGAATTCATTGGGGGTTGTGTGACATTCTCTAGCTGGTCTCTCTTGTGTTCGCCGGTTCTTCAAAGATATAGCTTTGTATGTGCTCTGGGACCAGCTGGAGAATACGGAACCGCTTTCCGCTGCGTTCCGCAAGATATATGGACCGAGACAGGTCATTGGAAGCTCGTACGTACACTTACCACGTCTGGGGTTTTATTTTGAACAAACATGCTGACTGCTTTCATTATGTCACTGTCGGCTTATACAGCAGCCTGCTAAATCAGATTAGTCGACTTTCGAACGTTGCGTATCTCAGGTGCAAGTTCTGGGACACAGATGTTTGGAAGCATACATGTGGAGTTCATCCACGCTATGGCGTACCCCCTTTCATGGTCGCCATCAGTCCCAGACCTTCGAGCCCTTTGCTGCAGTGGTGTTCTCAGGATTTTCAAGCATATATGCGCTACCTCCTGTATCCTAACCTCGTCTGTCTCCGCCTGGCTTCACACAAACCAGGTCTTTGGACGGTTACTATGTGTTCAGTGTTTTCAGGTCTCAGCGGGCATTCACCGCGACTAGAAGTCCTCGAACTCAATGCGACACCTCCTGAAGTCGCTGAGCTTACCCAGCAACAAAGCTTTGGTCCCTACACCATCCGAAGGCAACAACCTTCGATTTAGGAGCTCGTCCCTTACCAAAGTCATCGGCCACTCATCAACTTTGGCCTCAGCCCGTCAGAAAAATTACAGAAGGCCGGGTTCAATGCAGGTTCTTCAGCTCCGTACTCTTCACTGCCATACCAAATAATGAGCCTTTCGCGATGGTTTGGGGTAAGATTTTATCATACGTGAGGATTGCTGTTGTCCAGACATCTCACTTTTCCTCTGCGCAGTGGGCAGTTGCTTGCCCCCCCCCCCCCCCCTTATCATATGCACCGGGTTGGAGATGGCAGAGTTCGCATCAGCAGTACCTCCTTCTGGCGGTGTATGACATTGGCGCTGTCGCTGTCTCATATTGGACTCAACACAGTCTAGTTACATACACTATATGCATCCTGCGCAAGTTGGACAATTATTCATATCACAGCCGTCTGGACTATACATTTCGTTTCCGTGCATTCACCATCCTCGTCCGCTTCTCACGTCTCAAGAAGGTTCTTCCATCGTTTTGTATGTCGTGGCTTGATGATAATGAACTTGGCACCATCACCAAGGCATAGCCACGCCTCGAGCGCCTTGAACTTCGAACCGTTCACTTCTGGCGGACACAAGCCTCCAAGATTACGTTTCGGGGCCTTGCACCTTACTATCATGCTGTGCCAATCTCAAGGGCCTTGATTTTGTATTTGACGCTATGAGTATAGTAGGTCGGCCTTCAGTTGCCAATGGGAGGTATTTGCAACATAAATACTACCAAGCTCTCTGTCGGGTGCTCCACGAAAGGGCAAGTCGGGCTGGTTGATCAGCTAAATTTATGTGCTTTGACTTTCACTGTAATCGTACTTTTTCTTGAGCAACACGCACTTTCTTAGGCTGCGTTCTTCGTAACTTGAAGGGGCCTTGAAAGTACTGTCGAAGGTACTGTCTGTATAAATGAACAACTGAAACCAACTTGCAGGTTGCTAAAGGCGAGGTAAATGGCAAGGAACACCGAGGAAAACGTTCGACTGCAGATAAAAACATATTCGTACAACTACTACACCAGCGCTTCGTAATACATATATCATACATCCCACTAACGTTACACGCCTATCATGATCCATCGAAACTGTGGTATATCCTGAGTCGTTCAAACGCTATACGCAGGACAGGGAACTAAAGAACAATCAGACAATGATACCTTTGAGAGAATTTATGTTTAGGAACTTCATTCCAGTCTGCGTCCTCCTTTTGATTGGCCCCCTGGACCCTCCTCAAGATGACTAGTCTCAGGACCCAGTTTCTCGGTGCCACCGTACCCCAGTTCGTTACCCTTTGCTCGTCCGTTGGGCACGTTATACGGCTTGTCTTTGCTAACATGTTCATGGTACTCGCTGGTCCTGACCGCCGCCTGACTCCACCGCCCTGAAGGTGGCTCGTAAGGACGCTGTACGGCATCTGATGTGGCGTCGACACGGTGGATAGTAGGGTCTTGTGGAGCTGTCTCGTCTGCGTCTTTGAAGTAGCTGTCTGCGCTATGGGGTTTGGGTGCGTCAGATAAAGGATATAAGAGACGGGTAGATGTGTGAAGAGAATTCTGCAAGGACAAGGCCCGGGGGTAGCGAGATATTTTTCCGAGTAGCAACGAATACTGCATTGTTCTGAGCATTGAAATATTGAAACGTTGGCGTTCCGTCGTGTCGGCGTTGCGGTCAGCAGCTGCAGCGCTGCAACCCAGTCTTTAAATAATGAGTATCCCTTATCTTTCACGTGGCAGGCGAATTATGTAAAACTGCTTTTGTTCAAATGTTCGATATAATATTAAATCAGGAAGACTTGCTTGATAGTCGCTGACATGCTCTGATAGGTTGAGCTGGACAGAGCGTTAGCCACAGGGCGGGACGCAAGCAGGTGGAGGCTTAGTAGAGCCGCTCGGGAGGGCGGACGAATTCGACCGTGTCGAGCGACATATCGACGAGTAGCTAATAATGAGACAACGACGACCGATTAAAAGGAAAACGGCATACGAATCGAAGGTGCGAAAAACGAAATAAAGAAGGCGGCTGGGTTTGAAGAAAGCTGTAGGTGCGAGTGAGAAGGTGCGAAGTACGACGTGGTGGAAGAAAAACGAAACGAAGGACTTCGGAAGCAAACGGCGCATTCGCTCTGACCCGTGGTGCCAAGACATTCCGGCAGGCTACATGGCTCCAGCACCCATACAAATTATTACCGCTCGAAAGGCAGAGTCTCGACTAACTATTCGCGCAGAAAACGCAGTGTGTTGCAAGTTTTAGGCCGATAGAATAAAAACAAAATAGGAAGCGAAGCGCAATGAAAGCATGCTACAAAGCTGTAGTTGGTGACTGATGATGTTGTAGCACCCTCCCAGTTCACTTTTCTTGTACAGCTGGAAAGCAATAAATCGAGTATCAGAGAAAGGTAGAAGGAAACAACAGTACCTTCTTGTAATGCATGACTCGTCGCCACTCATCAGCTGCTGGAATTAAGCTCAGGACTCGGAGGATCGTCAGGATCGTTGGGCGCTGAAAGATGACTGTTGTCAGGCATCCTAGCATTCAGATAGCGAGTGAGATCAGTGTCAAGCCCCTCGCGCTTAGCCAAAGCTACAAAACATATCAGGATCACTCTCGCTAATTGGATTGATGCAGGAGTCCTCACAAGTATGTTTCGTCCCCAAATCTAGTGTGGGATATGCAGCAGTAATAGCAACAAAGGACATAAGTGTCCCGAGAATAAACGAGAGTTGCATGATTGTAATCGAGAGGATGAATACTTGTCGATGTGTCAGAGTCGCAAGGTTTTTTATACTTGCACGGCCTTCGAAGCACCTAACGAAACAATTGAGTCAACACAGTTAAATTGAGAAAAAAAATACGGACGTATCGTAAGAACCTTAGCAAGTCAGGATATCTTAGCTCCTAGTGGTGGCAAAGTGTCCCATTCACGTCATACATGTCTGATGGCTGGTACGATTCTGAAGTTCCTTCTCGTGCTGTAACAACTGCTTCTACTTACTAGATCGTCATGCGACAGCTAGACCTGATCAGATCTCCTGAAAGCTTGCTAGTAAGTAGCTTGTAGCGGTATCCATTACGAAGGACTGTCGTTCACCAACATGGTTTGGTAGCGAGGCATCCCTACATAGTAAGTATCATGTTAGAATGTCAACGGAGTGATGTACTGATAGAAGGCATGATTCCTCATCAACTTCCGGCAGCTCGGACTAAACAATTCAGCTTCTAGGTCGCGTCTAGTAACTCTCGTCATCGAACGTGGACTGTTTCCAGAACAAAAAGCGAATAATGGGGCGCTTGAACTTGAAGTAAGAATCTGAGTGCCGCTCGGACTGATGTATCGTAATAAAATTGCTCAGTCACGTGCATTTAATAGTAAACCTCCAGAGTCCAGACAACCCGTATTTAGGCAATTTGATCTCGTCCTTTTCGATGAGTTGCTGGTGAAGACTTTTAATGCCGCCTATAACTTTTTCCAGGACTGAGATCTCCTGCAACTTAGTTGCATCCAACTCCTCGCGTTGATCGATGATGGCGTGATATTGTGCCGGTCTTCGAACTCGATGACAGCGCCTGTGACCCGGCACTGTGACAAATCGTTCAAACAACGTCCCTCAGACCGAATTCCAAACATTTTGAATCCTCGTTATGGTCAACTTCATGTGAGCGTTTGTCTGCGTACAGGCTCTAGTGTGCTTTATCCACTTCTCACCATAATCACAGTGCTTGTCCTCTGTACGTACTACTGGTGTGTATCTTGCGTTCGTTGTATTGCCTTTGATTCATTGACTTATTGTTGATTTTCAGACGCAGTGTCAAGTATTGTCTCACGTCAAGTCCGATGCAGCCTCTATACTCTGTACTACTATTTCCAGCCCCAACCATGCCACGTCAAGCTTCATTCAAGCTGGGTCAAGTACCACTCATACCACGACAAATTATCTCAAGGATCGTCATAGCCATACTAATGTCACAAACTTACCCATGCCGTGTCAGTGCCATGTCAAACTTTACCGCTTCAACTGCCGCACCTACTCGCCAGGGCCGCGTCAGCACTTCAACTGTCCATATAACTTAGGCGTGTTTTCAATTTGTCATAATAACCTATTTTCTAATTGTCCTGTCATCCTAAAAGAATCAGATGTCGTGCATTGTAGTTGTCCATAGGCAGCAACAAAATCATTTACTAAGCATTCTTTTATCTTGTCCCCTGACTTAGCGAGGAACCTTATCGCCCAATTAGAAATCCATATCAATACTATGGCTTTTTTGACTGCTTTTATATATGCAGTGCGCTTGTCATCCTTTAGGAATTAATCAAACACATATTCTTTCTCTATCCCAAGGAGAGAGAATCAAAATTATCCGGATCGACCGCTGCTGAGTGTTGGGGAATTATACTCCGCTATGACCGTTCAGGTGCGCCATTCGACTAAGTTAATTCTCCAGGCGAACTCAGATTTGACAAGTCGAACAAGTAATATAATAGCTTATCTTCTGGCCTCTGTCCAGACCACTCAGCCTCAATGCTACATCCATCCCTCGACTCACGAAACACCGCTCATAGGAGCTATTTGCGCAGGTCCAAAATTCATACCACGTCGGTGTACCCGAAGTACTAATCCTTCTGTAGCCCGAGCAAATCAGCACCACAATCCAGGTCGATCATCCGACTCTTTACGTCCCAAATACGGTGCCGGTGACGAGACACCAACAAATGATTTCGTCGACCTCGAGTGTCTGACCGCACTAGAAGCGAGGATGTTTTAGTACTCACGACCTACAGGCAACCGGCAGTGAGGTTTGGATGCTGGCCAATATCACAAGCGATGGGATGTGTATCTCGACATTCCCAATGAGTGGGTTCTTGTAGCGAGAGCGAACTTGAAGTGAGGAAAATATTCACTGCCCTGTTCAATAGGTCTTTAACTTGTGTGATTAAGAGCGTGGCCCCTTATTCAGCGATAACTCTGACGTTACATCTTCTGAGTCTGTAGACGAGTTATCTCGAACTATAGCACCTTCTCTGCCGACTGAAGAATGTGCGTTCGTTAAACGTCGACGTGCCTCCACAGACTCGGAGGGTCCAGAGAGAGAGAAAAAGAAAATAGTCGTTTGCTCGTGTAGCTAGTAGTGCATGTCTCTATGATGAATGAAATGGCAAAGGATTGGTTATGAACCCATCGATATCTGGGAGTCGAATGTAGAACATATAGGAACGCTTGCATCGGCGCGTCTAGGCTCGTCAAAAATAGCCAAGCCCCTACCCTATCAGGGAAACATAATTTGCTGTGACAGAGTGTGCTCTGTAGCACAATTCACACCGCTGATGGGCCGATTAGCTGTTGAACCGTCGACTGCCTGCATTTGTACATTGATTCGAGTAGCTACCACATATGACTCGTAGAGGCAACGTTGAAGCTGTAAGTGCCGAGAAGAGTAGCGTAGATGATTATACAATGTGAAAAGAAAGAGTCCTAGAGTACATATGAAAACCCCTGTCGTTTCTAGTAAGCCCGCTATCGTAATTTCACTAACTACCGTGTGCTAGTGTCTATTTGAGTTAAATGCGGAACAAACGGGGTTTTGTCACTACTTTGAGTGAAGGGTAAAGGGTAGCGTATTCTGCTCGCTGTCGTTCCGTTGTCATCACTCCCCTACCAAAGACCAGGCGCTCTAGGGGACACTGTGACCGTACCAAAAGCGCCTTGAACTCTTCGTGAGACCATTGTCCTGTATTGCGAACCTCGACCATCTGTAGATTTGGGAGCGTCACGACATTGAATAGCCCAAGGATTCTGGCCGCATCCGCATGCGTTTCGAAAAACGGTAAGTCATATAAGCGCAAAGTTTGAAGTTTGGTGTGCTTCAACGTTTCCGAGCGCTCGATTGCTCCCGTGGATGTCCCAATCATCGTCAAGGATGAGAGATTGGGACATAAACGGAGCAAGCAAGGGAAGAAATGTGGTCCTTCCACCATGATCTCAAGACTTGTAAGACCAGCCCATCCAAGAGGATTGAAGTCAGATAACTCCTGGAAGGTAAGCCACACGTTCACCAACTTCAGACTGTGAATGTTGGGCGGTAATTGTGCGACAGAGTGCGCGACGGTGTCTACAGCACCAGAAAGGTACATGTACATGACCAGCTCCTCAAGCCTGCTGAAGTCCGCCGCCACGACTGGGCAGGAGGTAGCACCAGGGAATAACTCAACAGACAACGACGATACTTGATCGACGTATGGCTGGAGCAGGCTTTTCACTTCCGCCCGGTAGTCGCCACGAATCTCGAGTATCAACGAGAGCTGATGCCCTCGTGATCGCTTGAGGTAAGAGTCGTAGCAGAAAGCTTTCTTCTGCCAGTCACCATGTCCGACTTCTACTCGCAGACTGCGCCATAGAATCGTCATGTCCACAGCAACCTCTCTCCATCGTCTACATACTGTGGTCAACAGCACGGGGGCCAAATTTGGTGCAGGCGTCCGCTGTCGGTCTTCTGGGACGCAGTTTAGGAAGATTTTGGCGAGGAGTTCGGTGGGCAAGCGCAAAATAGCCGATGAAGATACCCTGTGAGAATCGTTGGACTGCACAATCTTGTCCTTCTCTTCAACGAGTTGCTGGTGACGATAGATGACACGGTTTTGACTCGAGGCCCCTTGTCTGACTACATCCAACTGCTGAGGTTCATATTAGATTCAAACGCCAACACCTCCAAAACCGAGCACTTACGACGTTCTGCAGGGTACCTGAGCCTTCTGATGAATCGGCGTTCAATTTGAATGTTTGCATATTAATGCGAAGGAGGTTGAGAGATATTGGAGATGGAGATCGAAAGTTGGAAGTTTTGTCAACCATCGTATCCTATTTAAATTACAACGCTTCTCAAACCACAAAACCACAGTCCACAATGAAAATTACCTTGCTATGGTAATTTCTCGTAGCGGATCTTAGGTAACACACCGGCCGTCCACATCTAGGGATCTTGAATTGTTGAAAAGCGAGTCAATGCGAGCTCCTGTGGAATCGGAGCGAGGGTGATCCGGCTCGCCGGTGGATTGGACACACTCGGTCGGCACCACAATTTCTTCTTCTCACGTGGACGACAATGAAGGTTATAGAATTTGTCGAATTGTACGTCTCCTTGTAGTATTGAGTTTTAAGTTTTTGATTTCATAGGCATGAAGGTACTCACAAAAACCAGGCTTCGACTCTCCTTGGCAACTCTCCACATCCTACCATACGCACCGGAAGGTCATTTTCCTTTTCGTCAATCACGTTTTGTCCACCATATTCTTGTCAATGAGCCTTAGTACTAATATACCTGCACTTCAACAGAGTGACACTCTTGTTCAAGCTGCAGACAGTATACCATCTCCGATTTCCTGCTCCTATATTGAGGCGAGCTAGAGCACGGGCCGGATATCAAAACTGAGAGTAAAAAATGTCTCTGAGGCGGCCTGGGCTCTGAGTTGACATTGAACAGTCGATGATGTGCTCCCTCAGGAGACCAAGCATACTGATGGTGAGCTCATCCGAATCGCTCACGAGCAGAGGATTGGAACATAGGTACAGCAGGCAGAGGACCGCGGCCGGGCGAAGTGTATAACTGCCAGGTTAGCCCATATGGGCTCGCAAGAAGACAAGAGCTTGAGGTAGAAATATGTCTATATCGGTTTAAAACTGCGTAGAGTGGGCGGCAGTCACGAGAAACATTTCTCAATATCCCTCTTATCGACGAATAGCTCCTGGATTGCCGTGAAGTCTTTTAAAAAGGGGCCAGATTTGTCAGAAACCACGCGACAATGGATAGAGAACGATGAAGGTAAGGTTGAAGGAAGCGTGGTAGCTCGATCACAAGCAATAGGTAGTGCCAACGAGAGCAGACGTCCTCATGATCGCTTGAGCCATACGTCCGACTCAAGGTAGAAGACAAGTTCCTGCTGTCTTCTGAAGTCGAATGGCACATCTTGCCTGCGTCACAAACTGGGAGTTTCAATGACAACCTTCCTCCGTCGTCGACATATTCTGGTCAATATGACGCTAGCTTCGATGTGGGCGACAAATACTTGTCTTCAGGGAGACAATGAACGAAAATGTGGGATAAGAGCACGTGTTATCACTGCTAGCTCTTGGTGAGACTTTCTAGTTGACACGTTCTCCGCGAACGCATTACTGCCAATTTTTTTCTTTTTGGATATGCCTTGAACAGAACCCGCATTGACCCCATCCAGCAGAAATGTGCTCGCAGTCCTCCATGGAGCCCTAGCCGTTCGTTTTGAATGAAAAATGCGCGAGTGTGAGTATGCAACTGGACCGAACCCACTGAAATTGCAAGCTGAAAGAAGTGAAAAAATTTCAGCGCGTTGGAAGAGAAATGATCTTGCAAGGCACCTGTGGGACTACATATTATGTTGTACTAAAGCGCAAACAAGCATAGAACCAGTGTAAAAGCTCTAAGGTGGACGTCCCGTTTAATATTATGTAGTTAATAACAGCGAATGTACAAAGGGAGGTTGTGACACCACTCACCTAAATCATACAGAAGTACCATCTTCCCAGTCCTCCATAGTCACATCTCCACCTGGGGTGCTCCGTCCAGTCGCTTCCATCATTCCTCCCAGTCTACTCCCATTCAGAGAGCCCAGTACCGGCTCCTTACCCAACCGGACACGACCATACGTCTCATCCCATCGCACAGCACTTTTAAAGAAGCGTCGTCCCCGTGGTGGGCCCCTCCCGACGTCAGAGTCAACATTGATGACGCGATTTGAGAGGATACTCATGCGCTTCCGTCGGCGGTATGAAGATCCATCAGAGTCGTACCGCTCATCGTCTGATTCATCGGAGCCTCCTCCTGGCTCCTGCAGTTTGTACACGAACCGGGAGTGTTCTGCAGAGTGTCAGACTTACTCTATTGCGCTGTGATGAAATGTTGACGCTTACGAGCGAGCCGACGATCTAGATCATCGGTGCCGCCGTCTTCGTCGGCATCTTCTTCAGCGATATCCAACCCAAGATGCCGCCCCAGACTTTCCCTTGGTACATCATGCATACCGACACTGGGCGCACAAGGCAATTGTGAGAGTTGCTGCAGCGCAGTGGCGCGCACTTTGTCCAAACTTCCATCCCGTACATTCAAGTCATCCATGTTGTTCTCTGGCACTTCGAGCCTGTAACGCGGACCAAACCACTCAAAGTACTCATTCCATGGCAGATTGGGGTCAATGACATCCTGAATGCCGAGGGCACAAGCAGTCTCATAGGTCCAAGTCCGCGCAACGTTTTTGACTGTATATCCTCCGCCTCCAAGAAGGATGAGTGGGACGTTGAAGGCGCGCAGATATTGTACGCAGTGAGCATGTCCATTCATAGTCAAGTTGAAGCATCCGAGTTTGTCCCCTGCAAGAGAGTCCGCTCCACATTGAAGGACGACTGCACCGGGTCGATATACTTCCATGATCTTATTTATAATCTGACGAGGTGTTAGCTGAAGTAGGCGCATACTTGACGAGTACTCGCCGGTTCAAACACCCTCTTGAAAGCCTCGTCCGTAATTCCGTCCTTCAATGGGATATTCACCGTGTAGTTCCTCCCCTTTCCTCTTCCTCGATCCTCCTGAGTCCCGGTACCAGGAAAATATTCCCCAAATTTGTGGAATGAGCAGGTCATGACGCGGTCTGTGGTGTAAAATGCTTCCTCTACCCCATCTCCGTGATGACAGTCAATATCGATGTACAAAACGCGGGGGTATGTCCTCAGGAGCTCCAGGATACCCAGTACGATGTCATTAATATAACAGAAGCCTGATGCCTCCCGTTTCTTCGCGTGATGGAGACCACCTGCCCAATTGATGGCGATATCTGCGGCTCCTGAAGATATTCGTTGTGCGGCAGCTGTAAGATGTCAGTGCAGAACGTGCAGATAAACAGACATAGTCGTACATATCGACCCTCCAGCTGATATTGAACAGAACTCGAATACACCCTCAAATGCGGGGTTGTCCTCGCCCATCAGAACTGTTAAGGTATGTCATGGGTAAGAAGCGCATCAAAAAGGAATTGTTGGTACTCACAACGAGTGCCATGATAAGTTAACTCTTCCGCGGTCTCCGGCGTCACACGATTTAAAAAATGTATGTACTCATCTGTATGAAAAGCCGTCATGACTTCAGGAGTAGCGCGTTTGGGACGCTACGCATGTGCTGTTTCCTTAATAAAAAATAAGCGATTCAGAAGGTAAGACATACCAGAACGTGCATTTTATCGAGCATTCCGTAGGCTGACACAAGATCATGTGTGACACGCATTCGATGCGGTTTCATAGGGTGACCGAGACCGTACGTATATGAACCGGTATCATCTGTAGTATTGGTTCGTTAGGAAGAAAAAGACTGGAGTTCATGATGAACACACCATCGTAGTAGTAAGCTACCCGTCTTTTTGACATCTCTTATGCGTTAATGCAAAAACAGCAGCCTTCACCTTGTCGTGCGGGCGTTGACTTGAACATTACGACTTGGAGCGGGGTTCGAAAACCTAACTTGGCGGCGCGCGCCGGTCCGGTGCCATCAATTTACTGTTACACAAAAAAAATAGGGTTTACACAGTACAGTTCAAGCTGTCTCGTTGTTACTCGAAGGCGCAGTCAACAAGGGTCGGTTCTGATTTATATGATTCGTATCTGACGGCGCCGCGGCTTCACTGACATCCAAGATACCCCACACGCTTATTATTGTTGCATCTTTTACATCGTTCCCAAATATGTCTACCTAGGTGCCTGCTGGTTCTACCACCTTAAGCCTTTAATCACAGAAGCAAGTCCCGGTGAAGAATGAGAACGTCCGCGCAGATAGTACGTGTATATCAATCGCTTTCTGCTCGGCTCCGTGGAGGGAATTGTATCAATTGGCAATGGAGGCGGCGTTGAGGGAATTATACCAGAGGACCTTGACCAGAGAGAGAGAGTCGTTATCAGCCAAGATCCGACCCAAGACCAAGATTTCAGTGCGTTTGCTCCATGAATTCTAGTTTTGATACCTGTATTCAGCTAGTGCACATCCACTTGGATATACGCGCGGATGACCAGGTGAAGAATGGCGGAACTTGCTCAATATTCTCACGATACAAGAGAATCATGTGCTCCTGTCTATCGGTAATTTCCGATATGATTGCTCTCTCCAAAACCCAAAAACGGTCAGAACCCTTCCACCGGTTCCTCACCGGCCCTGGTATAAACGTTGGCATAATATTGGTTGGCCAGCTCCACCTTTCCCTTCCTTCGTTCCTTCACCTACTCACCGAGCATGACTTGGTTGGATGCACCAATCTCGATAGACCCGATCATTGCTGACAACGTTTACATTGGAAAGTATGTAGCCTGTTGTTCAATGCCACTATGACCTTATCTGACAAAGGCCTCAGTCTCTCTGCCGCTCTATCAGCCGATGTACGCAAGAAACTTGGAATAACACACATTCTTTCAGTTTGCACGGAGTATTCGTCTACAGATCACAACCACCTCACAATACCCGTGCAAGACTCAGAATACGAAGATCTCCTTATACATCTACCTCGGTCATGTGGCTTCATTCAATCTGCTTTGGACCAAGGCGGGAAGGTCTTAGTGCACTGTGCCATGGGCGTCTCAAGAAGCCCCACTGTCGTCTGCGCTTACTGTAAGTTTACGTCACTGTGGTCCTTGTGTTCTTTGTGGAGCACTTAGTTTGGCTCTCGCATGTCCTTAAATGACAAGTAATGTCCACTCAACGGCTGTCTGCTCATGCAGCAATACAATACGTACGAAAACGTGAGTTTCGACCTCCTACTTATTTCATTCGACTTATGATCGTTCGGCTACGAAGGTCGACCAAAGATTCACCCTAATTATGGATTCATGAAGCAGTTGATTGCTTTCGGCGAGTGCCGTTATAAGCCTTCATGCACAAACAGCGAGTATATCGCCTGGAAGCGCAGGCAAAAACGAGAAGTATCTAAATACCTCGACTTGATTGCCGACACTGTACCCGTGGTACCAGATCAATTATACCTTAGTAGGTGCGTACACTGGATTGTGTAGTTGATCCGCATTGCAGTTTACACTTTTTAATACTCAGTGACTTCCCGGGAGATCCTGATGCTGCCGAATCACTTCTCTTGGATTTGGGCATGACACATGTGCTTTCCATCTCATCTGCACAGCTTCCGAAGCCAGATCTTCCCCTGTTCAATCACTGTTTTATTGATATTCCGAATAATGGTCGTGAAGCTTTGTTGCTTGAGCTTCCGACGGCATGTAAATTTATCGGCGATGCCATCACCGGCGGAGGCCAAGTGCTCGTTCAGTGCCGCGTCGAGCTCAGAGCTTGTATCATAGTTTGTGCCTATTGTAAGTTGTTTCTCTCCATTCCTTTGATATGTTTATATATAACTATTGACTAGTTATGTTCACGCGTCATGTATCACCACGTCAAGCACTCAAACTTCTTGAATCTGGTGAGTCTTAAACTCTAGACACTTATCAAGCATACATGTTCACGCATGCATCATTCCAGCGCTTCCACTGTATAACCCTACAGACAACTTCTACCGTCATCTAGACCTTTTTGCAGCGTGCAATTATGTCCCAACGCTCAACAACCCCCTTGTCCAAGCATGGATATCAGGAGGCACTCAGGCGGGCAAGCCTTCCTTCAACAAGAAATCTGCTACCACGACCAAAAGAGATACATTATTGCTTGCGACCACGACGATGACACTTGCGACGGAGCCGAAGGTGTTCGATTTTGCAGCCCTCAGCGAGGTGCTGGCACGGTTTCAGTCGACTTCGACGAGCGTGGGCGTTGCGCGCACATAGTTCGGTTCTAGTATCACTGTTTAGCATGACATGCTTGCTCATTTTATCATACCCCTCTCAGTCCGTGAACAGTATACATTGATAATATCGCATCAGTGTCTATTCCAGAGTTGAGAATCTCATGTATGTAAAATCGAGGCTACATACATACGATCTACCATTGTACCAAGCTGAGTACGGGGCTCTACGCCTCCTTCCTCGGTGTGTTGTGTCCTCTTACACTCCTACGCACTTCATCATGCACCCTTCTCGTGTAATCCTCCCTACTTCCAAAACATCCCCTCCGTATCGTCGTGCAGGACCTCCCAGGTCCTTCGCACGCTTACCTAGCCATTGGTAATGTCATTGAAGTAACTTTTTTTGATGCATTTATGTGTCACGAGTTGCTAGCTTATAAACTGACATGCTACTGTATGGTTGCTGTCATCGACACTGGAAGCGTACAAATACTCACCCCATAATAGCAACCACCATTCAAAATTATACGGCGATTACTTGCGACGAGTGTCCCAACGCATTGACATTGGTCTTCTCGTCAGTATTCCTGGAAATGTGGCGACGCTCTCTTGCTAAACTCGTCCTAAACCTCTACGCAGCCTCACACCATATCAAACTAGCGGCGTCAGTCCTGCGTCACAGCCGCGTCAGACTGCGCGTCTAGTATCGCAAGGTATTACAATCACATATGCGAACCTCCCTGCCGCCTGACCAAGGTGAGAACAACTACTGCATGCCAATACATTCTCTCACTTGGTCTGTCGTGCGTCCCTCGTGCACTTCTCCGTTCTGCGAAAGGCCATTCTTCAATTTTGCATGTCATGGCTTGACGATGATAGCATTCGATGCCACGAGGATCGGTCCGCCTACGGCTGAGAAATCAGGGGAGGAGTTGCAACACAAATATCACTACCTTTTGGGTCGGGTGCTCTATCATCGGACAACCAATCGCGGTCGTGCTTGAGAAAGCTTCACGTTGAACTAAGAACTGAACGCATAGTCGATATGCCTTGACTGTGGTAAGCGCAATTTCTAGGTGCTCGAACGCCAGCTGCAGCCTTCTATCAGATTACCGCTCAAGTCCAAATTGAACGAGCGGATAACTAATTTGTCCAGCCTAGAGGTACGAAATTGAAACTCGACGTGAGTGAGAGTTGCCGTAATCCGGACAATGCTTGACGGCTGCTCACTTAGACAAGACAAGACAAAACAAAACCTTTCCGAACAAGTGATACTTTCCGCAGGTGCTTGAGTTCCCAGAGAGCGAGCTCGCTGACTTAAGGAGACGTCGCACGTAGTGTCACGACTTCTGGTCGTGGTGAGTATCTGCTGAAACCTGATACATGATCTTTTCTGCAGGTGCGTGCGTCTATAGAGAGCGAGCTTGCTGGCTTGAGGAGACGCTGCATGTAGTTCCATAACTTCCAGTCATGGTGAGTATCTGCTCAGACCTGGTACCATTGAAGATATGAAGTACATTTAGAAGCCTTCTTCCTTAGATGGCAGACACGGACGAACGAGGTTAGGACCCAGGAGGTAACCCATACATCCATGCATGAAATTACGAGGAAATTCTTCACACTGGCAGAGTGCTCGGAGGTTAGGCGCCAACAGCGACCACAAGGAAACACCCATTATGGCATGTACAAACCCTGCCTGTATGCCTTCGAAAGATTTGATTTCATGTCTCCCAGAACTTGTACCCGAGATGCATATTGGACCAATCTGCAGTAGTCATGTGCTCCTGCATGAGCTGGCATTTGATAATGAAGGCATTTAGCACGAAGCACGCTGAAAAGGCTGATATGGCGGGTAGCACGTACCAGCTTGCGATCACCTGTCAATGCTGTCATGATCCGTAGGTCGCCTGAAGCCAAGTGAAAAGTGGTTCCACCTCGATCCATCTAGAGCTGTCTCTTTGAAGGCACAATAGACACGAGATAGAGCAGCTAGAGAACATCGTGCCAAGGTTGAGAGCCGCTGTGAACCCAATCATGTAAATGACTGGTGTTCGTGCCCTATTGTCATAAGAAAATATGTTTAGAATCTCTGGAATGCAGACGCGGTACGCTTTCGTGCGGCAGCGTTGAGATAAAAATCACTAAAAGAGCGCAATTGTAACAAAGTTCAGATTTACGTAGCTAAAAATTGTGTGATAACTTAGCAGACGCGGCGGCGTACGATGTTACGGGACTGTCAAAGTTCACTGGTAAGATGACACGGCACAAATCAATTATCAATTTCTAATTCTCTCTATATGATATCAGAATGAATTTGCTGTCTAGTAAATCCTAGAATTCGAACACAGTAGGCCTGCAGTGCCCGGGCCCCGCCCACAAACCGTGTTTACAAAATGACGTGTAGCACTTTCACGGGTAATCTCATATTCTCGTTATAAATAACCTTCCAGTGATTTCATTTTTGCGACAGCTGTAGCCCCACCGGGTTGCAAGGATCCACTGATGTGCCAATGAACTCATGCAAAACTCCCTCACTTACCATATCTCTGAATGACCTCCATCAAAATCAGTTCTCCCTCGTCGTCAAGTAAGCTACACAAAGGAAGACTCGGGAGAACTCGAAAAGATAAGCAGTAATAATGTATACGTTGGAATATTGTGCCACCAAAGCATCGATTGAGCGGCAAAACTGGTCCAGTTCGGTCTTCAAGTTGTCGATGTAGCACGTCTTGGATCGCGCGAGGACACTCGTAGCCCCTTGTATTCATCCTCCGAGCTCGCCCAAGGAGCATATCCTAGTCAACCACCATTATTACTAAAAGAGATAATGCGGTGTACTTTTACTCAGACAAATTGATGTGTTCGACTTACTATTTTGTCGCTGGAGACCAACGGTACTATTGTCCTCTACTGACACCGTCTCTTGCTTTGACGGAGTTCCGCGCCCGACGCAGAACAACTCCTTCGCAAGTTACCAGCGCATCATAAGAAGGCCTTCGATCATACGAGACTTGCCCGAAGGATTCGAAGAATACCTCTCGGCGCCCGCACGTGGATGCAAGAAGCATATTATTCATCAAATCATGAGTTGTTGCAAATTGTATGCCGGAGCAACTCTCGGTATCAATACGAGCGACTGTCGCAAGGGTAAATCAATCATGCAAAAAATGAACAAAGCATGTGTGGTGAATATATTTGAAGTAGTTGGTGACTTCTTGCCTTCTCGCGAAACAACGCATAAACGTCTTCCGTCGCGGATATTACCATTGTTTTCTTCATACTGAAATAGGGTGACTTATCCCATAGGTGGCTGTTCTTCATATCCGCCGGCAGAAAGGATCTGACCCTGATTGGCGGCGGGGTATGGGGTGTGATTGGGCTGGGGCGAGAGGGCTGTAGATTATCCGCCAGGAGGGGGTAGTGTTCCTAAAGTAGGTGAACCAGTAGGATAGTTGTAGTATTATGGATTCGGAGGGTGAGCGGGATGGCCGCTGTATAGCTGTAGGGGAAGTTTAAGAATAGCCTCCATACATAGGATACATAGCTTAAGCGCCAGGAACTGCAGTGCACCGAGCCACAGGCAAGGCTGCAGTCGGAGGAGGCCCAGAGGCCTCACTTGCTGCAGTGATGGAAGACGTCCTTTCCAAGGATAGCTTGGATGATCACATACAAGGACGATGATATCCCAGTAGATAAAAAATACTTTATCAAACGGCAGTCATTCATATACCAGAGACGTACCACAGAAGAATATGATAAATGCAGCTGCCTCCGCTACAGCTACCTCACAATAAATCTAGTTAGTTGTCGGATCTAGTAATCAGTATTAAAAGGTCTTCACAGCTTATCACAGCTACCAAAGACTCACAATTAGTGTAAATGCATCCATCAGTGAAATAGTGGGCTCAGCCCGCCACAGTACCAACAGCAGTACGAGCTCATACCACCCAGAGAACTTAAACTGGAAAATGATCAGCTAACAAGAGGATTGCCACAACGTTTGACGCGCGGACCAAAATGGTGGAGCACAATCACATAGCGGTAAATGCTCTGCGGCGCAAGCCACCCATAACCAAGCCATTATTACATATCTCAAGATTAATTCCATCGTCAGGTTTATTGGCACCTACAACAGCGGCAGAGCTGCAAGCCCAAATGCAGCAAAACTTAACTGAACATTTCGTTATCCAGCGACTCGACGTGAGTACAAACGCCAAAGACTACCAGAGCCCCACTAAACTAATGGGTACAAGACATGGTTAGGTTTAACATCCGGATCACGGTACGACCACTCACAAAAATGATGGCACGGAAGCGAAAAGGACACCCATTTAAATGGCGGACAAAAAACGTTGAAATGTGAAGCAGGTGAGAGGACAATGTGCGTGATGACGAAAGTATATATGTTTTGACGTTGACATCGCTTGTCAGAGGGGCGATTGATCGACAAGTAATTGATTGGGCCCTGGTTTACAAAACACATGATGTAAAGTCACTGCCCCAATAAAATAAACAATGCCGAGACCACGAGAAGTGTCGTCGCGACCACTCACGAGTCGTGAAACAAGACGTAAATGTTGCGTAAATGAGATGAAAAAAAAAAAGTGAAATCAACTTAGATTATACTAGGCACAGCCATCAGCGGGCTGCTGATTGCGTAAGAATAAACCAACTTGAAGGACTCGGGCTGCACCATTGGTCGGGGACTCGGGCGAGTCGGGGTTCACAGAAATAAATGGAGTAGACGAATCGCACTACAAAAATATACTTGACAACCATAAACCGGACACCAAAAATTTCAGTCATACCGGAGGGATAAAAAAATAGCACGAGCTTATCCGTGCTAGCGTGCGGTCACAGTGGCCCGGTGCGACGCAAGGCTGGCCCCTTGGGGACATGATCAAGTGAACTGAGGCGAGATCTCACAACGAGGCCTTTATTTAAAGATGCTGAGCACAAATCAAACAGTTGAGCGCTTACAAAGCAATTATATCGTTATTTCCTCTATCTGAAGTCTAGTGGGCATTGTACGTCATGCTTTTAGGCGTCTCTAAACTGGTCAACGGGGATCGACGAGGATCCACAGGGGATGGCGATAAAGCCAGGCACCCTATTGACCTTCATCTTGCGCCTTCAGCCAACCAAGCTACGCCCGCACGGTCCCTAGAAGCAACGGACAGCAGTTTAAATGCACCGTTTGATGAGAAAGTCGCGTTTATGGCATGGCCAAGACACGCGGCAGACAGGCAGGCATTTGTTGCCAAGAGAGCAACCTTCTAATCAGAAAGGTAAAAATTCCCATTCAGAGGAAATAGTCCGCAGGAGGACGTTTTGCCGGGATAGAGCGTACATCCTAGTGGCACGACATGATCAGATCACAGCGCTGGATGAAATGCAAGATTTCATCCCCGCATATCGCCTTTTGGGGAAGATCAAACCACAAGGAACTTACCGAGGGCGCATGTTGAAAAACTTTGTATTCTTGAGCAAGGCGTTCATCTAGCTCAAGAATCGAAGCTACATTACCACACCTGTCATAAAACATGATAGGTTACGAAAGCGGAGACGTATGCAGGGTGCTCATTTGATCACCACTCACCGATAACAGTAATTCGGTGCGCTCCACACCGTCACTATCATATTGTCGAACATGAGCTTATATCCTTCCATAGCCAATTGATGAGCCCGCGCGATGAGATCAATAGAATTATGGTGCGCAAAGGTTTTGGTAATGTCAGCGCCGAAAAGAAAGCCAGCGCCCCGCGGAGATAGGCCCCATCCAGTTATATCTGTTCGAAAGAAAGACGTGTTGTGAGCAGACATTGCCATCGAGCATGCCTAAGCAAGACTTTAAGGAGATACACACCGTCTGGATCGGACCAAAGGAGATCACACATTGGACCATCATGGGGGACTTCTTGTTTTCGATCAATAGCGCGTATCTAAAGACAGAGCTGAGAACGCGTGCGCTCAACACGGAGCAATGAAACACAGTAAACGCACCTGATCAATAGCCTGCAGGTTCGGGCTGAGTCCGCCATGGACACAAAAAACTCTACCGTCTACGATCGCGCCTAACGCAAGATAGTCGAACACCTCACAACACCATCTCCACACGTTGGTGCTACCATATTTTCTCTGACATTCGTCATAGAACCCATACACCTGTGTGATCTGCCGTGACTCGTGGTTGCCCCGGATTAACGTAATTCGCTCTGGATAGCGGACTTTGAGTGCCAGGAGGAGCAGAAACGTTTCGACACTGTAGAAGCCACGATCTACGAAATCACCTGTGACAACGGGACATTAAATATTGGAATGGCCGATTGAAACGCACCAGGGCGCTATACTTACCCATGAAAAGGTAGTTCGTCTCCGGGCAAAACCCGCCTACCTTGAACAATTCCATAAGATCAAAGAACTGCCCATGGATATCGCCGCAGATCTTAATCAGAACAACAGAATAAGTATTAGCCTAGGAGAGGATGGAATCGAATGTACCCACCGTCACAGGAGAGTCCACGACTTGAACATTTGCTTCTTCTATTAGGATCTCACGGGCCTTGAAGCAGAGCCGTTTGACCTGTTCCTCGGATATGGGTTCACATCGTGTAAGCTGGTCTATTTGTCTGTAAGATCAACGCGCGAGAAGTACGCAGTGGCCGGACGTGTTTCGTGCGCATTGGATAATGCAATGCATAGAAGCCGGTTTTTGATCGCCAAATACACGTTGTTGCGGTACTTTGAGAACAAGTTGTGATGAACAAACGTGATTCTCACCTGTCGAGATCGCTGGGCATTGCAACCTATCTGATAGACCTTTGGCTCGGCGAATGCCTTCAACAACAAGTTGTAGTACGTGTGCATCGTGGGAACATTGTCGGCATCAAGGCACGATATTGCCTCAGTACTGCCACGCCAGATCGGCTCGGAATCCACGATGCAATTCTTATGAACAACATAATGTACAAAGTATGTATATGCAGGTTAGATACGCAGGTATATGGTATGTGTGCAGTAGCGACAAGCAGCGTAGCGACGACTGCTGTAAAGAGAGCGGGAAATGCACGATAGTAATCCATACACAAAGCAGAGACATCGACGAAAAGAGAAAAAAAATCCGGTTACGAGACAACTATAAAATACGATTTACAACAGCGAACATGAAACAAGAGGTGTTATACATAGCCCGTTGAGGGCCGCGCCCGCAGAACGTTATCTGTCTTCCAAGCGTTTTGACCTAGGCTGACGTGCGGAGCGTGATAAGGATATGAACTCTGCACTTGGGAATGTTGTATGTATGACAGTGAGGCGGGCGGTGTTATTGAATGGTGCATTTGAGGGATCCGAATGTCCCCACGAAGCACTCTCTCGTCCTGAATCGGCGCTAAAACTGGTGGTGGCGAGTCATATCTTGGTATGCTCGAATGATGAGACATAAGAGAATGACTGTATGATCCATGAACGACGTTGTTTTGTGTGCTCATATAGCTACCAGATATGTTTGAATGATCGGAGACAGGATCCAGTATACCAGAACCGTTTTGGTACGACGCAACTTCGTGCGAGTCATCCCGGTAGGCTGAGTAGTTGGGCGTAGATATCTGAGAGTGCGGTGAGACAGAGTGCGGTGATTCCGGTGATGGCGTGCTGACTGCCTGATAATGTGTAGGATAAGAGTGTGGATGCGAGATGTGTGAAATCGAGAGACGAGATGATACAGACGAAAGGTGAGCAGATGACTGCGGAGAGCCATCATGAACACTTTCCATGGGTGATTGATGAAGAGAGGAAGAATGAATACGCGACATGGATGGCTTCTCGCCATATGCCTGAGAATAGTCGTATGAGTGGTCGTGCACAGCATGGCCACTGGAATTCTGCGAAACAGCTGCGGCAACGTAGCCGTAATTAGCTTGCGAGGACTCATCGTAGCTTGGCGTGCTGTCACCGTAATGCGACTGGATTGGCGATGAATGCGATGCGACTTGGCCATTGGACATGGACTGGGAATGTTGGTTCATCATTGGGAAGGAGTTCTCGGGGGGTGTTGGGGATCTACTCGATACACTTCCAGAATGCAGGCTATCGGAATATGGCGGTACGGAAAATGCTTGTACCAAAGGTGGGGGTGAGTCGGGCGCCGGGGGGATTGCGTGCTCGAGTGCCGGTGGAGGAGAGGGAGTGTCCGATAAATTGTGTTCAGAGGAAATCAATGAGGATGAGGTTCGGCTATTTTTTGAGCCAGAACCGCTAATGCCCACGGCACGGGCAATCGCAGCACGCGTTGCGGAGCTTGAGCTCCGTCGTGAGCCAGGAGAGAGATGAATGCGGTAACTGTAGAAGAAAGAAGAAAATGAAGCTCAGTTGTTGTCCATAAACTGCAGCGAAAAAAATATGTTGAATAGTTCATGGTGACAAGTTGTTCAAGCATCCAAATGGTGTACTTGCTGTGTGGCACTGATAGCACCACAAGAATAGACGTAGCGGCCGGCGATAAAGAATAGAATAGGTACTAACTGTTGCTGTAAGTTGTCTTGTCTAGAACAACGTGTTTCGCATCCAGGAAAAGGACACTTGTGATTGCGTTCACCTGTGTGAACGCGGAGGTGTCGCGCAAGGTGGCCACTGGTAGTAAAGCCACGGTCGCACGTCGGACAGACGTGCTTTTTCTTTCCATTAGCTGTCCCAGAAGATTGGGAAGACTGAGAAAGAGAAGAAGGGGCTGTTGGTGACTGGGGCGAATGACCTGCAGACTGACTAGAATCAGATAGATACTGTGTAGAAGAGTATTGAGCAGAATAGATCTGAGAACTAGCAGAATCATGCTTTGTTGACGTGTGACGGGGCATATGGAGAAAACGGTGTTTTGCAGGGGTGGAAAGGAAACGGAGGATAGGAATGTACGGATTGCGGAGGAACTGGAGAACAGGCTTTTGAGGAGAAGAAGTATCGAGGCAGTGACGCCCAAGAGGAAAATACGTAAATAAGTGTGGTCGCACCAAATAAATGTTCTGATATTTGTTATATTGATAGAATCCAATGGGGAGAACCTCAATTTTATTTCAATTGAGGGCTACGTTTAGACTTTGGAATTGTCATTTCGTAACATATAGTTGTTGATAATCACTTGCCGTTTCTTCCGGAAGCGTACCAAAAACAGAATATTAATTTCGGAGCGGATGCAGTTTTTAGTCAAAACTTCCGGGGTGGTGTTATGCATTCATATCTGCTTCTATAAGATATACTGCTCCTTGCACTGGATTGTCCTCGATGCTTGCATGCCTGAGCAATCATTTTTATGCGTCTTCCTTTTGATCACTCATACTAAGGTTGAGTTCTGCCAGATCTGATAGCAAGACCGTGGAATAGGCGCCTAGCCTGACATTTCTTCCTCGCCCACGTGAGATAAGTTTCGTCCAAAACCGACCTCTCGGCGACGTCTCAATCCCGCACACTCCCCCCCCTTCCATCTTTACGCACAAAAAAACCGCTTCACGCAATTCAATTTCTTGTCCCCAGGCACCGTTATGAAAATGCTCTTTTCGGGACCGTCCAGACCAGGGTCCCATTTGCGGTTTCGATCGCGATCAAACCAATGTTCGCGAGAAGTTGGTAAGCCCTTCTCGTCATTCAACACACGGTAATCGGCTGAATACTGCGCCCAGAAGCCACTTTTTGGATGACCCAAAGTCGCTGGCAACACCATGGATACATCCTAGTATGTCCATTCATTCACTAGCACCTCCCTCAGCAGGGAATTTAAGTGAATCCCACTCCGCTCATTTCCACAAAGTGTCACGGAAAGTTTGCAAGTCAGAGAATCCATAACAACTTGTCAATGAACCAGGTCGCCGTCTCGTTGATTACAAGCTCGCTGAGCTCAAAACATTAATGTTCCGCCTTCTTCCGTTCAACGAGTCGCAGCCAACGAAGACAAGGAAGGCATCTCTGACATAATTAAATAGCAAAAGTAGTTAGTCGTCGATAGGTTGGGTGATCGTCACTGAAATTCTCTCACACTGAGTTCATCTCTGTCGAACGCCACCCGTAGACTGCCTTTCTCTGATAACAGGCGCCGAACTCTATATGCACCAAGGTTGAATACACAACGCATACTGCCAGTGACAAAGAAGCTAGCTCAATTGATCATATGCTCGGCCCATCAGTCACCATGTCGGTCGACGACGTCCCGTGCACTCCCGTGCAGCTTCCGGATGGATCACGCATGTCAGAAGTCAGAAGACCACACCAACGTCACTTACCAGATCCGCGACCGTTAAGCATAAGATGAGAGCAACCCTGAAGGAGTTAACTCTGTTAAGGTCCACCGTGCCTCGCGCCTGTAAATGTCTCACTGAGACAACCTTAGGACGGACATCATTCCGCTTTAACGATTCGGGGACCATTGGACGCGCCAATTACTGCCGGGCTTGTACTCAATCACGTCGCAGCCTTGGAATCTGGAACAACGGTTATGTACATGATCTATACCCACGCAGAGACAAATTGTGATGGCATTCTCAACGAATGGCATGACAGGGGCCAGGCGAACTTAAGTTGCTGCATTGCCTTGCGGTGAACTAAAGGCAAAATGAAAGGATAGTTAGCTCAATTCCCTGATGGATTGGCAAATTGAACCACGAAATGATAGACGGCGTTCAAGGGACCGATCCAGGGGCTTACGAGACCATTTCCGACCGTTGTAAAGCGGAACCGTTGCGGGACCTGGTCAACGAACGACACAAAAAGGTCTCTCTCATAACAGAACGTGATATGCCTCATATAATGAAAAATTCCTTTTAGTGATCAAACGTTTGGCCAAAAACGTCCTGGTGTCAGACAGTTAGAGTTATCATTCAGAAAAAAAAATAGCAGTTTCCGTACATGCCGACACCCGCAACAAGCCTGTTACTTTCTTGACAGCGTCTGCGGCACCAGACAGCCAATATGACCATCATAGTAGTAGGCCGTGGCTTGAGAAAAAGTGTTGATGGAGCTCCGTCAGAGAGAAAGTCTTGGAACACATCAACTGTTTCATTGCTTCACTTACTCACTTTCTGATGGGCTGATTCGTGATTGGCTTGACGTGCCCACGGCTCCTTCCTTGGCAGCCATTGGGTGAAGATAGTAACAGATTCTACGGCAGCCGCAGCAGAACTTGCACTCACCAAAACCAATAACACTGAGCCAGCTGTCTCCGGACAAACACATTAATTTGTGTCGCCGCGTTGGTCCTTATCTGATTGAGACAGGACGGCTTCGGAAAGACCGCCTTAGCCCAACTATCGAGTAACTTCTGACAGATAAGAACTTTGCTTCTGGCAGTTCACCGCGAAAACGTACAAGAAAAAAATTCCCTTCATACCCCAAATATGGTGATTATCAGGAATTCAAACTTTCGTTGACGTCGCGCAACGATAGGATAAGGTTTCGAGTGAAATACCCATTTGGGAGCAAAGTCAGGCATTGCCCGAGGCGCTAAAACTCGTTGAACATTCTTCCACAGAAGCTCAATTTAATTATCCATGGAGCCAGTAGTTGGGAAGGGCGGGAAGGCGCGCGATCCCAGAAGGCTATGCACTTGATCTTCAGGGCAATAGAGTCGCTTGGCCATCATGATGGCCCGAGCAATGTAAAGTTGGGGCAGTGACTGAAGAAGGTATTGCCGTGGTTCTCGAGTGGCGTAATCGTTTTCTCGAGACAAAAAAAAATCGCATGACGGCAATCACAGCCAATCACAATCGACAATGAATATGCACGTTAGGAAAAAGCCGCGATACTACCCTCGCAACCAGAACGTTCGGCATCGTGTATATCATGATAGCAGCAGGTACATGTAAATCCTACCAAGGCCATGAGGATTAATAGAAGAGAGAACTAGGAAGAAAGCTCAAGATCGTGGCATCGTATCAGCTCCCAATCGGCTTCCCCACCTTCAAAGCCGTTGGTAAAAGCGTGCGGGGCTTCTTATTTTGCATTACGATGCCAGATTGGCTCTCACCCAAATCTAATACTATGCACCCTAGCAACCTATGCCAGCTTAGAATAGACGAACGGGTTTGCCCATCGTGCTCTTGATATGCAACGACTGAACATTTTGCCAGTTCTTCTTGAGGAGGGAAACGAGGAAGTTGATACCTACGACAGCGTGAGAGCCAGTTATAGTCACATGACATTGAAATTCGTACTCATCATGACATTCGCGAGGACTTGGTCATCAGTCATTTGGACATGTCCGACGGCAACACCCAAGCAAAGGACCTTCTTGAGCTGGAACTTAATCGTGGATCGGACTTCATTGAGCTTGTTCGCTAGATCCTCAGCATGAGAGATAGGAGTAGGGAACTTCCCGGCTAGTTCATAGAGTTTAAGGCGTGAGATATACACGGATGAACGCTAGTGGATTTCTACCTTTAGAGAGACCGGGCCCAAGAAGACGAGGGATCTGTTTGATCAGGGCTTCAGAGGCCAGGAATGCGTCATACTTCTTAGCGAGTTTCTTGACAAGCTTCTTATTCTTGTTGAGTCTGGCGAAATTAATCAGAAATGATATCAGAACCGGCTTGGCCCTGCTCACTTTTTTAGGTCATCGACCGACTTGTATTCGAGTTCAATTTGTTTGGCGCGATCAATGTCCGCTGCATCAGCAAGAATACAAATAGACATGCGTGGGCGAGGGACATTGGGCAGCCTAACATATGATCAATCACGACCTGTCACACTCGAAGGGCTGCACTCACTTGACGGTACCAGAGAAACGCTTGTCCTTTTGAGTGTCGTAGTTCTTAAGACCAATCTGAAGTTCGATGGTCTCAACAAAGTTACGTCGTTTCTCGCCATTTGCTTCAGCCAGAAGGTCCTTGACGGAGCCCCGCACGCTTGCCACTGATAGCTTACTATGCCATAGTTAGAGACAACTGAATCAAAAAGTAGTGCACTAGAAAACATACGAGCTCATGCCTGGTCTTAGGTTTTTTTGGGCGGTGGAATCTTGAGGATGATATGAGTGAATAAGGTTCAGGTGGCTGAGTACATATACGCAGTGTGACATGCATATGTAATCAAAAACATATTTTTGGCAATGTGTGACAGTTGGACTCGGCCAGCCAAGTGAAAGCAGCTGTGCAAAGCTGTGACCTTCAGGCAAAGCCAGGCCGCGAAATTGACGTGTTCGGGATTGTAACAACTCGTAAAAATGAGCTCATTATATGACACGATGTTGGGAACTGACAAGTTTGTGTGCAGACTGCGGATCCGAACAGCCTGGCTGGTTTACCGGACGGAGACTGCCGGAAGTTTAGATTCCCAGACTGTTTGGACAATCCGACGTATCGAGCGCCTCGGTGTCAATCTAGCGCAACAGCTTCACGAGACGGAGTCACAGGGAATATGCTTTCTGTCCATTCCTTCTAACCATCAACGTTAAATATTCAATCAATTATCTCTTTATTTCTTTCTTTCTTTTGCTCAATTGTATACCTAGTTTCAGTGGTATGTTTCTTCTTTTCATGCTACTGTTGAACTGAGTCATTTACATTTCCAAGGCATGACAGAACCTTGGGCTTTCCAGGGCGGGACGCCGCTGTAAGCTATTTTCTGCTTGTGGTAAAGCAAAGTACTAAGCACAGTATAGGTCTGACACCCCTGAATCTGATCTGGCATCTCTTTCACCTCGAACCGCGCTACTATCACCTCCCTATGAGAACGCCGAGCTAACCAGACCACGCCATATCAACGGCGCCCCCAACAACAAATTCCGTCACGAGCGAGAACGTGTTCACGCAGCTGCGAGTGCTCGTGACCTCTTACGACTCTTAGTAAACGAGGAGTATGAGGCGAAGCAAACTCGCAAAGTGCTCTATACTGCATTAGACAGGTTGGACGCCGAAAGTCGTCGTGCCGAAGAAGCAGAGGTCCAACTAGCAGAGACTTTGGAACGTACGAGGTCTATCAATGAGGCTCGCGTTGCTGCCCAGCAGGAGGCAGCTCGGGCGCAGGAGGAACTGAGGCTTTACAAGCTGCAACTCGATAATGCGCAGAGAGAAATTCTCAGAGCTCAAGATATACTTGGAGTCATTGAAGCCCAGAGGGATGACGCAGAGGCTGCGGCTGCTGACGCGCGCTCAAAGGCTCGAAAATTGACTGAAGAACGCCTGATTGAGCTCGCGAGGGAGGAGGGTCGCAGACTCGGGTATGAAGAAGGCATTCGACGCGGTCGCAATATGGGTTACCGAGATGGGCGCGTCGTTGGTATTGATGATGGTCGGTCTCAAATGCGAGAAGCCGCTGCCGCTACCCTCGATAGGCTGCTCGACGCACAGGAAGAAGCAGAGACAGCTCCTGTAGTTTTACCTCCTCAGCCCGCACCAATAACACTCACGCCAGAGAGCCAAACCGCACCAGAAGTCCTCCGTGTTTCAACACCTGTCTCAACTTCACTCGATGGCCGTCGTAACTCCAGTTCTCGTCGTAATTCCGAATCTGATTCCGCCAGTCGAATGAGCGTCCCACGCGCTCCTGACCCCATAGTAATGCCCGTCATGGTTGAACACCCGCGGTCCAGGACAGATCCCTCCGTCACCAGTCAATCTTCTCGTTCGCATTCACAACCCCAACCTTGGCCCACGTCAGATCGTTCTTCAGCTCGGTCACCCTCGATCAGACCGATTCCAGTGCACAATTCTGTTCCTAGTGTTCAGCACTCAGAGTTTCAGGTCCCACCGGACAACTACATACCAACCCTGGACAAGGACCAGCGTATTCCTCTTCCTCCCCCGCATGAACTTAGCCGTAATCTTTCTTCATCGTCACTATCACAACCTGTCGCTGGTCCATCCTCAGATTCTGTCAGAACGTTCGACTATCCCCCTCGCCGTGCCTCTCCGGAGTCGCAAGCGTCAACGAAGATGTCTATGTCTCAATCCTCCACCATATCGGCGCTCGAGATTATCGGCTTACCCAATATGACGAGTCGCGACAAACGTCGAGAGCGCAATGGTCTGAGTATTATCCACGAAGATGCAAGCATCGCAGCCGACCATGAAACTGTGACTGGATCTGATGCGGGACACCATTACCGTCGCAGCGAAAGAGACACAGACAGTGAAGTGACCAGGCACACACGGAGAAACCCATCAAAGCAAAGGCTTGCTGACGAGCTGAGATGGTCTAACCCATCCGAGGCTGAGGAATGGCGTCGATATGGCGCAGACAAGGTTTGCTTTCATACTACGTGGAGCGCAATTTGGGTTGACGAGCACCACAGACTTACATGCAGAGTTCTAATGCTCCTCTCCGTCCTCGCCCAACGAACGTGACAACGCCCAACCCGCTCTCCCCTTTAAACTCGGATGACGCTAACACACCTCTGCCTCGGCGTCACCGACATTCAAGGACAGTGTCCACTCCTGGTCAACGAGAGTCGACCGCACATGACCACCGAAGAGTCGTGTCATCGGACAGCTCTGTCCCTGAAATAACCGTCGAGCCCCCGGTAAGTGGTATTACCCGCCCGAGATAAACGCTAAAACTAAGCCTTGACAGTCTCGCCCTCCCTCTGACGCGCCATCAAGACGTGCGTCCGTATCTGGATTACTCAGTCCCGATCACGCCAATTACCCGCTCCCTGTGCCTGTGCCTGTTCTGCAACGCACTCCACAAGTTCCTACAGTTCCTAACACTCCCGTTTCAGCGCCTGTCTCGTTGGTAGGGTCTATGTATGACATAGGACAGGTGCCAACCAGTGCACCGCCTCCAGGGGGCCCTGTCATTCCCTCGCAACGTAGTTCGCTTTACGCACCCGCCCGGCCTGAAGGTAGGCGATCGCAGACTCCCCAGTCTTACGTGGCCTCCCCAGTCCCCACTGGTGTCTCCTACCCCGCACCGCCTATTTCCAGGGAACCGACGCCAAACGGCTCCGTACATCGCGGAGATCGTTCCTCGACGCATGAACGCCGGCAGAGTCTAAGTCAGACGGCGGGAATGACACCTGGCGCACCCCCACGGTCTCTGCAGCCAGGCGGCGGCGAGACTTCGCGTTCATCCCACAAACAACGATCAAATGCGTCAAGTAGCTCGCGCCAGTCATTTGCGCATTATAACCCAGGCGTGTACAATGACCCAGCATATTTGGCGAGTAGCGAGTCATTGGATACTCGGACGGACGCGAATACGGCTGCGAATGTGGGTGGGCCGAGGAGGACCTCATAGATGCCCATTATGTTCCCTCAGTTTTTGTATGAGAATATTTGAACGACTGACCCGTCATGATTCTGCGTTGCTTGGACTGGTTTTCTTGTTTAATCTTGTTGAGCACACTCAAATAGTAACATCGATAATTAACTGACTAGTAGGTCTGCACATCCAATATTGCTGTTGTCTTCACCATCACATCTCAATACGAATCAATTATATCATGTCCGAGGATCAAGCCCCAAATTAACACTCAAGCTTGGTCATGATATCTTTATGTAAACTACTTACTTTCTGTCATAATGGTTTCTGTACACCTAAACGTATATACCCTCGTCGGCCAGCTAATCGTAAATTTCCCCAATCAAACAGACTTACTGGTGAAGTTCCAGCATTTGCCCGCAAGTGGTACCCATAATGTGGCTGTCCAATTAACGCAAAAGACAACATTTACAAACATACCATCATATCGCGTATACAGCGTCCAGATCGCCCCCTATAGGTTTAGGGGCATGGTCAATCAGGCCTAGGGCATGTGATTTAAAGCTTCGCCACTCTTCCATCGATAACCAACTCACATCTTCCATCGATAAACAGTTCAGCGAAAATGGACTCGGACTCCTCCTCAGTTTCCTCACACTCAGAGCTAGAGCATGAACTCTCCATCTTCGAGCGCATTGGGGAACATATCGATCATTTTTCCAACTCTGATACAGCATATGAGGTGGAGAGAGAGACAAAGCTCGCACGTGCACTTGACAACCTTGCCTGCAGTCTGTTCGTGTCTTTCAAGAGTCTGGTAGAGACAGCCCCGTTCAAGCTGCTTGTCAAGGGAGAAGATGCAGGGACATGGATGAAACCTGACCTTGCAGTATTGCAAAAGCACGTGACCCCTTCACCATTTGGCAGGGGAGCAGAAACTGTCATGGATCCAACTTACAGGAATGGAACAGAGCTCAAAGTGGATGAAATCGCCTTCAGGTTGCCAGAGGATAAGAAATCGCTATATGAAACATTCGTGAACAGCATCGAGGGTGAACTCTATACAAGCATGTTTGTAGGGAAGAGCGTTTCTCTCAAGTTTTACAAACTCGCTATATACGGCGAAGGAGGTCATTTTGACTGGCATCGTGACTCAACACATAGCGATGCTCACCATGGAATGGTGCTCGTCGTACTTAACACGGAATGGGAGGGAGGGGAGCTTATGTTGAGGCATCAAGGCATTAAAACAATTGTCAACATGCATCCAACAAAGTATGCGAGAAAGTCTGGCGAAGGGCTCCGGCCAGTTGTGGTAGCATTCTACACAGACACAGAACATAAAGTCATGCCTGTCACCAAGGGCACACAGCTGGTACTTCAGTATGATGTCGAAGCCATCAAACAACCACCTCGAGAGTGGGTTACTCCGCCTAGTTACACTCCCTTGAAAGAAGCTTTTCATTGTCACCAGCACATTGCATCCCACATCAACACTTATCCCAACTTGCACCAGACATTGGTGCAGGCTGTCGCAGATGAAATCAGAGAATTGCATCAAGCAGGCACCACTGTCGTCACTTTCCCTCTCACTCACCTCTACCGCAAGACAAGTGTGAAAAGGAAATACCTCAAGGGAACTGACTCTACACTTTTCGACACTCTCGAGAAACATTTCAACGTTGTCCTCCATCCTGTTCTTATCCGTGCCATCGAAGATGGCAATGATTATGACTGTCTGGAGCAGTTCTATGCACACAAGTATCAATTGTCTGAGGATAATGAAGAGGAGCCTTCTGGCGCTCAAAGAAAGTGAGGTGGAGTTTTTGAGGATACTTTGTTCCATCTTCCATGGGTCTCTGGGTTTCCGCAGCTTTCATTGCCAAATGGGGCACATCTTGGTAATGAGGCAGAGATTAATGGGGAGGCAAGGTATTATGGCGCTAGGGATCAGCAGGGGTATGGGTAACCCCTAGGGGTCATGGGTAGGGGTACCCAGGGGTAAGGGTATGGGTAGGGATTTCATAACCCATGGACCCGTGGACTACAGGTGGTACCCCTGGACTAAATAATGGACCTTGTTTGTCTGTAACTTATATCACCAGTGCAAACTGATAAAACTTTTCACAACCATTCCTCTGCACTATCTCATCATGTTACCTAAATGGACCACACGGCCCACTGAAAAGGTCCTTGCAATGGCTGCAGAAGGCAGCCAAGCCAAGCGGAAGGCTATTGATAAACCTTCTACCCCCATGGAGACATCAAAACATACAAAAGCAATGACACCTGTTGATATTGAACAATCCAACAATACTACTACACCATCCATATATCGAGCTACAGTTTGAACTGAAGAAGAAGAAGCTACTTATTCAGATGCCATTGTCATCAAGTCCAACAGTGATGGATCTGAAAAGAACAATATCGAAGTTAAAGAATCTTCTGATGCAGAACTAGGTAGTTACCTGCTCAAACAACATTAAAAGCTTAGTTCACAAGATTGTAGACAGGCTGATGAAGGATTGGACATCACCTATATATGCTTTCTTCAAACCTACTCCAGAAATTGAATATCAGGGCAACCATCATTGTCACATGTTCAAATGTGCAGCACGGGGCTGCAAACACAAGGTTTGGCGATACCTCAATAAGAAAGATGCAAAGTCTACCGGAAACATGCAAAAGCATGTAAAAAGTTGTTGGGGCGAGGCAGCCTTGCAAACAGCAATGGAGCACAGGGACACTGCTGCTGCACGAGATGGAGTTGTCAAGGATCTGCTTGAGACAGGAACTATCAAAAGCTCATTCGAGCGAAAAGGTAAAGGCAAAATCACCTACTCGCACAGACAGCATACTTGCACAGAGACAAGGTTTGTTTTCCATCCACTTGATGATGTCACTACTGATAGGACCTAGGGCGGAGATTGTGCGTTGGGTGTCGGAGAGTCCAAGACCATTCAAAACTGTGAATGATCGAGGGTTTCAGAATTTGATGAAGACAGGGCGCCCGGAATATTACATACCTTCACCCTCAACAGTTGCTTGTGATGTAAAGCAAGTCTTTGTCAAGACTCGTGAACAAATAGCACAGATGCTACAAGTAAGCCAAATGTAGTGCAGAAGATCAGCAAACTAAAGCAATTACTAGAATTATGATGGCCAACTAAATTTCGGAACAGATGCCTGGACATTGCCCAATCACAGGGCTTATGTAGCCATCTTCGTGCATCTAGAGCATGAGGGTCAGCCATTCTCAATGATACTAGACATAGTTGAGGTAGTGAAGGTAAATAAATACACTCACCCAAATTTTGAACAAGACGGCACACATGCTGACATATTGCAGTCTCACAGTGGCACAAATCTTGCAGACACATTTGCAGATATTCTAAAAGACTTCAGCATATCAGACAAGGTACTTAAGTTTAGTCACTCCATAAAACTCTTACCTGACTGGGGCAGATATTGAGTGTCACAGCAGATAATGCGGCATCCAATGATACACTTGTCACAGAGCTTGCGGATCAAGTGGCGCATTTTGCTGGCGAGACAAACCAAACTCGATGCTTTTTGCACATCGTGAACCTCGTGGCAAAGTCTTTAATTTGCGAGTTTGACACAAAATCAGGCAGTAGCACAGATCCAGAACTAGATAAACTTAACGGGGATATAGAGATTGAGGACACTCAAACAGCAGACGAAGATCCAAACAAGGACCAGGAAAGCAAAGATAATGATGAGGGTTGTGTTGATGAATTACAGCTGTTAGAAGAGGCTAAGCACGAGGAACTAATGGACAGTATCCGTCCAGTGAAGCTTGTCTTAGTGAAGGTAACAGTGTTAATAAATGAAACTCACCTGCACAAACTAACACAGATCACAGCTATGGAAACTTGCATTCAAAATCATCCATTCAACAACTATTGTTCTGCCTGCGTGGAAACAGATCATCAAGGACTTGGATCTCCATGTGCAAATCATGCCATGTAACATATCCACCAGGTGGAATTCAACCTTCGATATGCTCAATTTTGCGTTGGAATACCGAGCAGCAATTGACAAGATAACAGACATGCGGAAATTGGGGCTTGGTGACTATGAGCTGACCAAGGACAGGTGGGCTCTGGTTCGACAGTTGCAAGATGTGTTGAAGGTAAGAAGTGACATATGTGACGTGACAACACTAACAAAGCACAGATTCTCAAGGATGCAACTTTATACTTCTCATGTTCGACACCAAACTTAGCTATGGTCATCCCTGCAATCGGTCACATCGACCAAGTCTTTGCTAACGGTATTGTCAAAAAGCAGATGCTAGAACCTGCCATACACACTGCACTTGGACTTGCAAAATGCACACTTAATTGGTACTACTCAATGACCGATAGATCTGAGGTTTATTGTATTGCTATGGGTGGGTCTTTTCTCCTTACTTTTACTATGCCATACTCATTTTTACTTAGTTCTTCACCCTCGTCACAAACTCTCTTACTTTAGATCTGTAGGCTGGGAGCTGGAGTGGATTGAAACTGCTGAAAAACTTGCCCAAGATGAATTTCAGTGCTCATATGCCTCCCGCTCAGTCATGGTCAACACGAGTCCCCCAGGAAGTCAAGATAGTATTGATGAGGTGCATTGACCTGCACCAAACTGGTCCGGTGCATGACCGTGCGGTGTTAGTGAATATTTTTTGGGAATTTTGCATGGAATGAATTTTGTGTTATTTGGCTCGAAGATGACTCAGCTAGATTCTCATGCATCTGAAGCTTCCATGAAAAATATTATCCGCGTATGTTTGTTTGCGGGAACTTCCAGGAAACTTTAAATACACGTGTTACCCGGTTTTGCTTTATGACATATGCTATGTCTCTAAATAACACCAAATACAAACAAGTTTCAACATATTATGTAAACCATGTTCTCTTACCACAGTCAGCTGATCTATGACTAAGCCTGACAAATCATGTAGTATATCTAGATACGTGAGAAAACGAAAAAAATACCTAGGTACGTGGGAGTAAATTAGCACAGCCACGTAGATTTGTCTATATAAGGACCTCCGTTTTGGCCTGAAATGCAATCAATCTGACTCCCAGAGTCACCCTTAATAAAATTGCAAGTGAGGTTTGTGTGTGATCAGCATCAGCAACAACCACAAAGAGTTGTTCGACATTGTCAGGTACATTGATGAGGCAGTAGGAGCCATTGAGCTCACTGTGCTCAACAACCTGCAAGGCCCAGTTATTTGTTTTTGAGAAGTCTCTTGTTTTTCTGAGTGTTTGTGTTTGTGTGCGCTGTCCTGCATGATGTGGGAATCATGCATGGACATGAATACTAGGTGACCCTCAAAAGATAAAGTCTGCTAGCTTAGTCCTCAGACTAGTCAACCCATACCTTGGTTTCAAACCATGGTCCATATTTCTAGTTTTCCCCAAGTTTCATGATCTGAATACGTTTTGACGGAAAAAGTCTAATGTGAGATGGGAATCACATTTAGACCTAGTTGATGTGAGAAGGGAAATGAAGGTTAAGGTATAGCCTTGCCTTTGGCTTATTCACTTTGGCTAGAGAAAACCATAGAGAAAAGTACAAAGCCAATAAAAAACCTATCCAAAAAGACCATGTTTCAATTCCTGCCAACTGCATTATTTTTTTGACTGTGTTTCAATTCCTGCCAACTGTCTTATTTTTGCTACCTACTTTTCTCTAGTGTTTCTTTACTTTACTTTTTCATTAGGATGCTTTGACTCACCTGACACTTCATAAAATTGTACCCATAGGGTATGATGTCATTATGATGTCATAAGACTCCACAGATACTCCTGCAGGTATTCTGTTGAAAGATATTATGTCATCAAGCTCTAGATTATTCTACTCTACAATGACATCATTCATGATGTCATTTCCTTCTAGAATATTCTGCTCCACAATGACTCACTCTGACTCACTCATGGAAGGTTCTGGAATCTTTTGCTCCACAATGATGTCATTCTTGATGTCATTATGATGTCATTACTCCACATTCCAGAATGTTCTGCTCCACAATGATGTCATAGCTCCATCTTTCACTTGTATTTTATTCTTTTATTGGGTTTGACCCAATATTTTGATTGGTCCTCCTTATTTTTTATTGTTTGTGAACCTAGGTTACTTTCCCACACAAAATGTATATAAGGAGAGCCCATTCTCCCCCCAAAAAAAAATATGATCTCCCATTTGTAGCAACCTGCCTATCAGATATTTCACTTGCAAAGTTAGTCCCTTTGAAGTGAGACAAGTGCAGGGAAAAGAATTCCCTTGAGATTATAAGTTTCTTACCTTAGAAACTTATTTAGTGCTATAGACCAAGTGTTCTTGGTCACATATATTGTCTTTGAGACCCCTTTGTCTCATTGCTCTGTGCCCTTTGACTAAGCGATCTTAGTCATCTATCATATTGTTGAGACCACGTCTCACTAGTTGTCCCATAGACCAAGCGATCTTGGTCAAGTTATAGTCCCCTTTGTTCAAGCGATCTTGAACATATATATAGTATATTTGAGACCATTGTCTCATAGTCAAGTGTCCATAGACCAAGCGATCTTGGTCATATATCGTATATTTGAGACCACGTCTCACTAGTTCCAGTATCCAAGTCCAGAGCCTGGAAGGAGATTTCCTAGGCAAATACATTCCAGAAACCGAATTACGTGTCTAGAAGCTTATTCCTAGACAAGAGATTTGAGTTTCAATAAAGAAAAGTAAAGCTCCAGCTAGGTTGATCTTAATAAAAGATTAGTTTAGCGAGCCTCCCAAGAACTCACACGTTATCTACCACGAAATAGGAAAAGTCGTAGACCATGTTAATCAAGGACTGGCAAGCAGTCTTATCCAAAGTGTAATTGTGGTGTCATTACATTTACACGACTTTATATAAGACCCTCGGTTATTAAGACATCGGTTTGACGCGATCAGAAGCCTCCTGAAATTACAGTATGGTAACTCATCCTTCTGATATCTGAAAAACATGTGCCATTTGGGGCACCAGCATAGTGTATTACTTGAGAGCAAGTGCCTGAGCTGATGGGTGCATCAATTAATATTCTAGAGGAAGTAAACTCGCGCAGTTGAAGGTTGACCTTACTCATCTGGCGGGCATTTTCTGTCATGATTGAGTAGTCCGGTGGGAATTACAAAATGTGCATTGAGGGTAAGCGTGGTCTTTCAGAATATGGAGCTGCTTTCTGCGCCTCCAAATAAGAAGCATTTATGAGTTGGGTGGTGAAGATGGAAGAATACGCCTACCTTCATACTCTGAATGTACAGTCACTACTAGCCATGTACAGTACCTGCTCCTGGCTCCTGGGATGATCATTCGAACCAAGGCCACAAAATTTGACAAATTTTATGCTGGAAGTCTGATCTCCAAGTGCACACAGTGCAGCCGGTGATGGTAAGCACTCGCATAACCCTGTCTTCAGACAAGGTTGTCAACAGTGGCCTGCCAGGGGAGGAGAGGTTTCTCTTGGATCAGAATAAGTAGCATTGGAATATAAAGAGAAATAATTTCTTTTAATCACCGGAAACAAGTAAATTGTGTAAGGCATGGTGCCCTTGTGCTGGAGTTATTGTGGAGTATATAGCCTAGCTTGACTTGAAAGACTTCAGGTCATTTGAAAAATTCTGAACTAGTGCTTACTAATCGAGTAGCTGACTGTCGTCCATTAAGGAGCTATTTCGACGATAATTCAACGGTATTCTGTAAATCATCGACTCATTGCCAAAAATTATTTCTATCCATCGATATTTTACCGCTTGACAAAAAGCGAGTGGACGAGCATAGTACATAAAATCAATATATCTAAACGTGGAACGGCTGGATCATCACGCGGAAGCATTTCGTGTGACTCACATGTGTGTACAGGACCCCTGATAATGCCTTTGGAACCCAGGTTGGCGGAGACCCCAATCTGTCCGGATGGATTCTGGCCAATTTTGTCCGGATCCTGTCCTGGGTTCGCCCATGAGCGCAAATTTTGTCCGGATTTGAACCTGGGTGCTCAAAAATTCTCAAAAACACTTTTTTTTTTTTTCAAGAGTAGCTAGGGTGATATACGAGCATACAATTATCGCTATTCAGCATCCTCATCCACTCCGGTCTGGCCCACTCGCTTGCGGAAAAGTTTTGCTGCTTCGATCAGTCGAGGCAAAGTGTGACGTAAGGTTTCAAACACGGAGACATCAGCGGGCGCCAGTTCAAGTCCTGAGGGTGTCGTCTGAGGTGCAGGAGTGAGAATACAGAGGAAGGAAGGAAGGCAAATTGACGGCAGTGAAAGATGACAGTTGCATCGGGCAGAGAACCTTCGTCTAATTTTTTTTTTTTTGCTTGACCCGCACGTCAGATGAATATGTCAGCCTTCATCAGAAATCAGGCTCTGATTCATAAATATTTGAACAGACAGTAGTAAAAAGCGTGGTTCGAACTTGTGCAGTCAAGCATTGATCAATATCATACATATATTGTAACCACTACACCATTGTACCATGACCTCGAGAACACCATGTCCGGATGACGACCTGGCTCCCACATATCTTCATTGATGTCCGGATGGGGCACCCAGGTTGACCCTAAAATCAGCCATGGATGTCTGGATCGTAAGGGACAAATGGTCATTTGGGTCAATTTCTGTCCGGATCGCTGACTGGGTTCCACAGGCATTATCAGGGGTCCTGTGTGTACTCACTAAAATCAAAATGAAAGTCAGAGAAATATCTCATCAAATCTGTCCAGCAGACCTGCCAGCAGTTGCACGGTCACCAACTTCCTAATTGGTATAAGAGGCAACGAGTAAGAAAAATGGTGAGATAGTATCCGAAGGTGAGTCGGAAGCATTGACAAGAATGAGCAACAACTTATCAGCTTTGTCCTGTGCAGGCAGGACCACAGGTTCGAATGGTGCTATGATGAATGAGAGATTGGGATGAGAGACCGGATACGAGAGCAAATATTCTGCGATTATTATTAAGAGATGGTTGTCGATGTTGCCAGCAGGTTATGACGCAAATGGTCGTAATCAAACGAATACTATGCTCATATATGTTCAACAAGCATGTGTACCATCTGACAGCAATAGTAATTCTGCAAAATAGAACCATGCCCAGAAGTATATGCAGGGTATAAAAGCTGGTCATCATCCTACAGTGTTTTCCCATCCTCAGAAGATTCTATATCACCTCGCAAAGAAAATGCGTTTACTATCGTTCCTCGCCGTTGTTATTGCTTTGACAGCATCTATGTCTGTCAGTGCATGTGGCTTAGAAGGAGACCGCTGCATAAAAAGTACAGATTGCTGTACAGGTTATTATTGTCCAAATGGCGCCAGTGTGAGTAGTAGGTCAATGTGCAACCAGGAATCAGATGACTCACCTGCGGGCCTTAGTTAATCAGAGCCATAACGTGCACAAAATATATTACTTGAAGTTGATTGAGCCAAAAGCCTGAGTGGCACATTGCCACAGTGAGCCATGCTTCTGCTTCGCTTTGGTAACATGGTTGATGGTGCGATATCTAGTTCGGAGCTAATCAGTATACTTCTTGAAGTTGTTTTTGGACAGATGTCCATGATGCTGCTGAGCAATGTGGATGTCTGAGTTTATCTGAAATTGATGGACCACGCCTAAACTTGAGCTCGAGAGGCTGTCGAAACGCCGAGTGATCATTCCTGTTGACGTGTTGATGATTAATATTAAGGGAGGCCATACGAAGATGGAACGTACTGCGCAGGTTGAATCTGTTTGTCTAACGCTGGCCTCGAAGGCTGTTCATAAATCTCTCTTGATGGAGCCAATGAAACGCCGATTGTGATTCATGACAGACGTGTTATTTTCTGGTATGCAGTCAAAGCCCAATGTCATACGGCAGGCTGGGGCCACCAGCGAACCTGTGAACAGATGAGATCGGTATATATTCAAGTTGTTGAATATCGCAATATTGATAAACGTAAAACTGCGAACCACTTTCACATGGGAACGTTTTGTATTGTCGAGGAAACGCCGAATCATTTACAAACACACGACCTGGTACAAGTACAGAGGACCAAGATCCTGAGGATGGCCAGCACAACAATTTAGCACCCGGTCCCGGCGAGCTATACGGTCCTCACAACATTTTTAGAGCAGATACCATCTCATCGAAAAAAAATTCAAGGCAAAATGATTGTCCATTGCAATTGGCAGCACTGTTGAAAAAGATACCGAAAGCGATGATGTTGGACTTGCAGATCCTCGTTCAAATGCTTCATATCCGAGTCCAGCACGGTCCAACGCCAGTGTGTGCATTCATCCATGCATATGTATCAACAAGTCAAATTTATTAGAGTATTTTTGACAGAAGATAAGTTCCCCGAGGATCAAGATGAGAGGAATATACCTTGACCAGCGTCAGCCATAACTTCGCAATCATCTGCAAGACCTTCGATGCGCTTGAGGACAAGAGCGCTAGCACGTTCAAGGGCAGCAACGGCCTCAAATTCTTTCTTTTTCTCCTGCAAGCGTGACGTTACTGAAGCATATTATTGGCCTGCGATGCTAGGGATGCAGCATGTGAAATGCGACTCTGAGCAACGGATTGACGCATGGTTTCTATTTGCAAGTGAGAGCTGCGCGGTCATTTTAAAAATCCGACGGCTGCCGTCTGCTAAAATTCATATCAATATCAATAGCCGTGTAAACTTATAAGACACTTTGTACATTCATTAATCCTGACAGTGCTCATGAACATGAATGTTATTCTTCCATCGAGGATGAGAGACCAGGGATGAGAACGAGCGTTCTGTGGTCATTAAGAAAAGCGTTGTCGATGGCCAGCAGCAGTGGTCTTAATCAACCAAATATGCTCCTGCATATTTAACCAAATTATGTAAATTGTGACAGCAATAACGATTCTGCCAAATCCACCAGAACCATGCGGAGAAGTATATGCAGGGTATAAAAGCTGGTCATCGTTCTACAGTGTTTCCCTATTGTGAGAAAAATGGTGATATCTGAGCCTGAGTCGGAGATATTTACGAGAATGAGCATAGCTTTGTCCCCGTGTTGGCAAGGTCACTGCAGGTTCGAATGATGATAACATGAGTGAGAGATTAGGATGAGAGACCGGTGATGAGAACGAGCGTTCTGCGGAAGAAAAGAGTTGTCAATGTTGCCAGCAGGTTGTGACCCAATGATCGTAATCAACTGAATATGCCCCTGCATGTTCAACCAAATTTGTGCCATCTGACAGCAGTAACCAATTAGAACCATAAGTATATGCAGGGTATAAAAGCTGGTCATCGTCCTACAGTGTTTCCCCATCCTCAGATATATCATCCAAGAACTCCTTCAGAAGATTCTATATCACCTGGCACAGAAAATGCGTTTATCGTTCCTCGTTGTTGCTTTGACATCATCTATATCTGTCAGGGCTAAAAAACCACCTTGTTACAAATATGGAGACCTCTGCAGCTCAGATTATGATTGCTGTATAGGCTATTGGTGTACACCTGACGTGAGTATGAGCAGGTCGCTGTGCAACCAAGAATCAAACACATGACTCACCTCCGCGCCTTAGGATGCACATATCAAGCTCTGCACACGGGAAGGCAATTGAGCCGAAACCCCGAGCGGCACATCGCCACAGTGAGTCATGCTTCTGCTTTCGTTTTGGTATCATGGTCGACGGTGCAATATCTAGTTCGGAGCCAATCAGTACACTTCAGGTCATACGGCGGGCGGGGGGCATCAGGAACCTGTAGACAGATGAGATCGGTATATATTCAAGTTGTTGGACAAACGTAGAACTGCCAACCAAATTTACACGGGAATGTTTTGCATTGTCGAGGAAACACACCGATTTGCAAACACACGACCTGTATAAGTCGTCAATGGGGTTCACATTGATGTTGGAGAGCAGCCCGATGGTTCTTCCAGGGCACAGTGTTTAGGAACACTTCTATGGGCCTCTGTGATTCAGCAAATTTGAGTGTAAAAGGAGTACGTTGGTAATGAGTCAGAATATTGCCGAGGCATGTTCATGAGCCAAATTGCAAAGAGTAATACATATCTGCAAGACGACGAATGTGACGAGCGTGAGAAATGTACAATTATTATATGTCGGATACGTCACTGTTCTTCATGCAACTTCAAGTTCAAGTTGCATTTAATCACAAAGTTGACAGTCACAGTGCTTTGTGAGTACCTGCCCTTGAAGACTCGAGTTTCACTGACCTGTGAGACGTATCATTGGCGGTCTTCTGTTAGAGAAAGTATTGATGGTGAAGGGTGACTTGAAGCGAACGAGGGAGGACCGAGATCCTGATGATGGTCAGCACAAAATTTTAACACCCGGTGCGCTATACGGACCTCACAACATTTTTAGAGCAGATACCGACTCATCGGGAAAAAAAATCAAGGCACAATGATCGATTTTCAGCTTCCGTTACAATTGGCAGCGCTGTTGAAAAGGATACCGAAAGCGATGACGTTGGACTTGCAGATCCTCGTTCAGATGCTTCATGTCCGGTTCCAGCACCGTTTGAGGCCCACGAAGATACTATTGACTCTTTGCTTGACCTAACTTCTTTATGTTCTCAGGATGATATATCGGCTCGTTTCGACTCGATATCAAGGGCCTTATTGTCTGAATATTATCTGTCAGTCATTCATGGCAGCTCTCAGATGGACTATGAAATCCTCGAACTAGAATTTTACCTCCAGAAGTCAGGCTGTCACGAAGACCCATTTACTCATGGAAGCGCAGAGCAAGAGCGGAGTGGGCAGTGGTGAGAATTTACTCTTGAGTTTTCGTATAAGAAATAATTCAAAATCGGCTCTCACAGGTATTTTCATCGTGCACCGAAACGTTCAAACTTGTCGCAAGCCAATCTTGCAGCAACTGTAGCAGGAGGTTATCGGGGTGGTACACGTAAAGGCCTTGATCTGACATTTGGTGGCCCCGTGTGCATGCAAACGTCTTCTAGTGCGGAGGGTCGCATCACATCAGGAATATTGCGAGGTGGTGCTCTTCTGCGCACCATACGTCGATTTCACGACCAAAAGGTCATCTCAGGGCCCTCACTCCTCGTTGATGAGATTTTACGCGTATGCAATGCTTCGAACATCAACGAGCTTGTGTCTGTTAAATGGAAAGGGGACATCGCTGCCCTCTCAGCCCCAAGCCAACCGAGGAGTGTTTATATGTACTTACGCAAGCGACCTGCATCGAGCCTTGCGACTTCGCCCGTATTCCGTTCTCCGCGAATTGGACTCGATCTTTCTAACCCAGAAACCAAAGCCGATTCCGCACATCCACGTGTTGTCTTCGTCGGAAAATTATATCGGTACTTTACTTATCCAGAGCTCCTCGTTGCCAACGGACGCCCTCAAACGTTCGTCGGACTATACTTGGCCGTTGTCGAAGGACAGAAGTATGAGCCTGGCTCGCTCAAGTTCCGCAACGAATTGAGTAAGCTGACTGGAATCAAGGACACGACTCTTGCCAAGTATTTGTCGGACTATCAGCTCGGATTCGAGGAGGGGAAGTTGGTAAACTTTGTTGGGGCTATTGGAAAAGGTGCCTCAGCGTCAGCGTCTGCATATCTTAGGATGATGGGTACGCTCGCAATGGTGCTCCAGTAGTCTCATGATCGTATATATTCAAGAATTTGTAAGTTTCGCCTTGAGTCCTGCTCTAGTGTCACAGCTCAAAAGATTATTTTTGAGATAGGATGACTGCCGAACATGTTAGGTGGTGTTTGGATAGGCTTCGATCACATTCTAAACAACATGCTTATCTGGGAGGAAAGATCAATGTCAATAGTAAGATTTGATGAATTTGATGACATCTACCTTCGGAAGTAGCGTTCAAAACAATCCCGACAAGGCCTATCACATGGCAGCATTTTCTGCGCAGAAATGCTCGTGCATGTTAATGCTGGCTCCTTGCCCCGCCACCCAGCATAATACCACTGCTTCCAGACTCGCTCTCCTTGTATCCTTGCCTCACATTTGTAGACATGAGTCCTAACAGGCCCAGCCATGCGCTTGCATGGGCAAACATAAACGTATTGGACCTCGGTGATTTCACACATGACAAGGATGGTGGTGTGTTTGGGTGAGTACTAAGGAGTGAGTAAATTTTTAAGTCATGTTTGTGGTGGCGTGGTAGTCATGTTGTACTTATACCCAGAGCTGGCGTGCATGCCACAAGGTCTACTGGCCTACGGTAAAGGTGTGCGTATGAGTCATTGAACGGAACATGTGCATTGACCAATGGACCGTCCACACTGGCATGGCGCATTGTGCTTATTCATCTGTGGCTTGCTAATATTCAATGTGGCCATTCCCATTTCGAGCAGACTGAAGCACAATGACCATCGCCTCCTGGGCCCATGGCTCGTATGCATTTCCAATTGATTTTACAATATGGATATTTGTACAGTCTAACGCTGATCATGGCATCGCCTCCCACATAGGCACGTTTCCTTCACGAGTCCTGCGCTACGTTGTATCTGTGAAGCAGTTATGAGTGCGAGATCAGTCAGTTAAATCGGAATCTCTCTACATCAACAGTATGGGCAGCCATACAAACAGATGGAAGGACCGGGCACTTCCATTCCATTTGCCTTGCACATAGCCTTCAACTCCTCGACATTCTCATCCGAGCCCTTTTTTTGAGCTCTCTCGACTTGCTTCTGGAATATGCATATCTGGTCAACGTATCTATCCCTTGAGACAGTGACACCGCATTTGCAACAGAAGGTGAGCGACAATGAGGTTATACACATTGGACTTGTGAAGACGAGTAGAACGATGACGTAAAATGAATTAGAGAAATCCATCAAAGGCGCTCGTCTTTTATACCTCTGTTTTGTGGAAGCCCGCTTGGTGTGGACAATGGCGCTCAGGCGCTTCCGATACATGGAAGATGACCACAGCACATATTTTGCTATGGCCTTGGGAACGACTTCGCTTTGTTAAGTGAAGAGTCAGCGCCTGTAATATATTGAAGTCAATTGATCGCGCCAATGACTGACATTCATCGGACGGAATAAGTAGTGATGTTCCAGAGCCTGAAGTCAAGTCTCCATTGGGTAGTCAATAAATATGTGTAGCTGCGTAAGTTAGCCAACCTCGCCACCTAGGTGTTTCAGTCAGAGCAGCGCCCCCTTCATCCTTGCCTTCATGATCTCGGATCATTGCACCTTCCCCGGGTTTCCAAACAGCATCAGTTTGTAAGTCTACCTCGAGTAACGGCACGAAATGCTGTTGAATTCCAAGTCCATATCGCTCATAGATAGTGTAGCCGAGGTATAGGACAACGTAAAGGGCGACACCGATGTATGTGGCGACAACGTTCTGGTATGAATGTAGTGAGTTGAGGAACTGATTAGCGAAGGGTAGCCATACCTTAGCTTCCAATGGCTGTTCTTTGATCGCCGAGTATCCTTCCGCAATGAACATCAGTAGGGCAAGTATGACAACTCCAGCAGGTAGCAACGGGAAGAGAGGCTGAGTATAAGGCAAGTCCAGCAACGAGCGCTTCTGAGCTTGATACGCCGCACGAAAACGGAGAGAAATAACACCTATCGAGCCCCACACAAGCAAGGCTGATATGCCTGTGAGATTGAGCAGCCAAGTGAACACAACCCCCTCCCCCCATATTGTTGTAAGGAACGTCACGAACGATACTACGAGCGCCATGCTAGATCAGAGATAGCATATTGTCAGTGTTGCATTATACAGTCATAAAACGATAGCGCGGACTCACACGAGCGCGGGCACAGGGACGCCTCGACTAGTTACCCAGCCAAAGACACGAGGAGCCTGACCAGATCTGGCTAACGAGAGAAGCATGCGTGAACTAGCGTAGAAACACGAATTTGTGGCGGATAAAACCGCGGTCAAGAGGACAGCATTCACGACATGTGCAGCAGCGCCAAACCCTGCACGCTGAAACACCACAGTCAGTGGAGAGGCTGTCACATCCAAGTCTGATAGGAGATCGAAGAGATAAGCGGCGGATCCCGCTTTGGATTCATCACTCACTGTCTGCTGCGCGGAGTAAGGTAGGGTCTTGCGAGTTAATACAAAGACCAATTGTTAGGATGGTCAAGATATAGAAAAGGACTATCCGGAGGAAAGTAGCTTTGACAGCGCGAGGGACGGTTTTATGCGGTCGAACAGACTCTCCCGCAGCAACTGCAACAAGTTCAACACCGCCAAAGGAGTAAAAGGCGTAGACGAAGGTCTGAGCAAAATTCTGAAAGCCGCCGATGAAAGCTTGGCCATTTTGAAAATTCGACAAACCCTTCAAAAAAGAGGATATAAGCAGCCATACCGCCTACGAACACTGCATTGCTTACGGGTCCAGGATGACCTTTTACTCCGCCCCAGTCGTAGATGAGCCCGGCAAAGATGAAAACTATGATCATAAGGACCTTGACGAGAGCAAACCAGTACTCAGGACTCTCCTGTTGCAGTTCAACATCAGGATACCTGGCATACAAACTCAATAATTACGCACCGTAAGCTCGAACGTCAATAAGTTGAAGTAAGAAAACAGGGACAATAATGACGAGTGCCCATTCCCAGGCTTGGACTTGCGGCGCCCAAAACTGATTAAATGACCTATCAGCGATTCGGAGTTCCTCGGTGTATCGGGGACACAATAATAAAGTAATACACTAACTTACCTGTAGAATGATTGCAGCAGCAGTCAACTCGCTGGCTGACAAAAATAACAGACGAGTAAGTCAATCACCTCTTCAAAAGAATGAAACAGGACAGAAGTAATACTCACGTATTGAAAGACTCCTGAACACATAACGTCAGACTGGTCAACGAACTGCGATTCATCTTGGAGGTAGAATTACCACTGAAACCAGTAATTCCACCCTGTCCTTCAGTCAGCACAAGGAAACATCAGAGTAGAAGTACAGTACCTAACGTAAATCCTAGTGCAGGAGAGACAAATCTACTACCAAAGACGGAGAAAGCACCTGACACGGGAAACATCGCAGACATTTCACCCCTTCAATTTGTTTCTCTCAGGTCGGATATGATGATATGATGTTGAAAACATACAAAGTGATCACGACGCTGTACACAAACACGCCAACCACAAAATACGAGAGCAAAGCGCTTCCTGGCCCGGCCAAAGCGATAGCCTTGGTGAAAGAATCAAAGTAGTAACAAAAGGACGCGCTCGTATCAAAACAGAACGACTCACAGATCCAGCGCTCAAGAAAATACCCGTCCCAATGGTCCCTCCGATTGCTACGCAGATTCGAAAAAGGTTTTCAGCACATGACATCATTGACCATCGATACTAAGGACGCTTTAAGGGAACACTCACCGATCATCATCAGGTGCCTGCTCTGCATTGCCCTCTTCGTTTCATTCTCAGCAGACGCGTTGCTGGACCCAACGATGAACCTCTTCCAAACACTGCTAGTCAAGACCTTAGATGCTACTTCGTCATCTACTGGAACCTCATCCGGAAGTGCTGCGTCTTTTTCCATGTCGCTCATTGAGAACGATTACCAACTCGAGGAGTCTCGGAGCTGTTGGGCTTGCTTCTCGTAAGTATCGGCTGACGAATTTCAGGCCAATGCAGCAGTGCCAATGTAATTACACTACCTGGATTGAGATGACGGTGAAGAGTCTCGTGCCGCCTTGATGGCGTTGCGTGTCGAGTGGTGAAATCGAACGGATGTTCCAGGATCTCACGTAGCACTTCAGAGTCAGGCTGTATATAGAGCGCGTTGCAACGATGGCGCTGCCGAATAGCCCCCCGTCGCCTAATCGGCTGTCAAACTCCTAACTCGGTTATGTTCATCTACTTGTTCTTTCCTCAATGTGTCGCCACTCTCGAGAGCACGATGTTGGATACGGGAGTGGAACGACCATTCGCGTGCTCTTCTCCGACTCGGAGTCAGTCGGTTCTAGGTAGAGACAAAAGGTGCTGGAATAGTATTTCCCAAGATTCGACTAAATCTAGACAATGACTCAGAAGTCAACTCTAGTCTGGGGTCACTAGGGTTCCGAACACGCTCAGATATGACATCCAAAATTCACTCCATATCAGATGCCAAAACTAAAGACACAAAGTGGGTATTGACCTACATACATGGGCCAGCCGAATACCATAGTAATACGATTGCATAGCATCGTGAAAACCAAGAGTACTACAACGAAAGCAGGTTCGACGAGGGTTTCGCAGGATAGCCAGCCCACGTTGAGGAATATTAGCCGATTATAAGAGCTCTAATAACTAAAGTAGGAATAGGAGATGACAATGGGAAGAAATTATGAGGCGTGTACGCTCGTGGTGGGTCGTAGTGATGGTAGATGAATCGCCAGAGAGCTCACTGAGCTCGTGGGACGAATGTCAGTTTGCATTCCATCGAAGCAGGAAAGATAACCTGTAGAAAAAGGCACATAAGTCAAGTCCTCGGACAGTGATCACGAAGATAGTCAATTACAAAGGCGTCCTTGATTTCCATACTTCGCTCGTTGGTCTCAGGAGGAGCCACAACATCAAAGTTCCTCGCTACAGTAGCAACCGCGATCCTCAGCATCATCTGCGCCAAATTCTGGCCTCCACAAACGCGCGAGCCTGTTCCGAATGGAATGAG